CCTGCAGCATCACCATCAGAGCACCTAAATCGGGTGCTGCAGATGTAGGAGCTACTGACGGGCCAGCAGCCGGCGGCTGGCCCTCCGACGTCTGCGGCGTTGCACCACCAAATCTTCTTTGGTCCGTCTCCTGCTGGCGTTGATTTCGGGTACGGACACCCTCCGTTTCCTCCTTAGGTAAAATCGGCATGATTTTATCCCACTTCTGACACCAATTGTTACGAGCTTGAGGTTCGTGACAATAAAAATTGCCGATAAAATTACCTAAATTAACACTTTAATTTACTTTACACAAATTAAAACTAAAAACACTAATAATTAAGCACACTAATTCACTTAATTCCGCTCCGAAGCTTCGCTTGTGTCGCCGAGTTCAACTCTGCCTCGATCGCATCTTGCAGCGCCTACTTATTTAAATTAGCAAAGAAATATCCAGAATGTTCAAGTAAACACGCGCAAGGTACCGAGCGTTCGAGTTTCGACTAGGCGCTGTCGGTTGAGTGATTTGTGATGTCATTTTCTCAATGCTCCCCTCGCTCTCGTTCCTGACACTAGATGGCGCTAGTGTATCGTCGACTTGAGCGCGTAACAGAACTGTTAACACAGAAATTGGTCTGTAGTTGTCCACATCATCTTTACTTCCACTTTTATGTATAGGGGTTACTAATGCCCTTTTAAATGTTATGGGAAATCGGCCACTTTTAAAGCAAAGATTGCAGATATGGCAAATTATAGGTGTAAGGGTGTGTCTGGCCATTTTAATAAATGATGTAGGAATGTTATCCCATCCTGGGGCAGACTCATTAGAGAGATCGCTTATGATCGAATTTATTTCCAACGGATCGGTATCTAGAAGAACAAAAGAATTCATTGGAGTTGATATTTTAGTCATGTAATTATTTACTATAGGAGGGGCAGAGTTTTTTAAGTTTTCAGCCAAGTTTTTGCCTATGCTAGAAAAGTGATCATTAATAAAATTTGCAGATTCTACAGGGGAGGACGCAATAGTTATAAGTTTATGTGTGTCGTCGTATAGTATTATCTTTATTAACATACCAAAATGGATTTAATATTTTTCCACAGCATTTTCGGGTTATTTTTTGCATTATCCAATTTTCTCCTTTCATAATTCTTTTTAAGCTTCCGGACAAGCTTATGACAGTAATTTCTTTAGCGTATATACGTTATTTTTAAAATGTGATTATCAGGATTTTTTTTAACTTTATAATGTAATTTATCTCGATTTCGAAGGTGTTATCCATGGCTGAATACAGCGTTTTCTAACGGGAATTGTGGTTATCGTTTGATTATTTTTCATTGCTACTGAAATTATACTAACCAAAGCATCAGCAGCCAGTGTTGGGTTATGTATGTCTAGTATTTTTATAAGCTTGGACTTTATTTCATCAAGAGTTGTTATATAATTTACGGAAATCTTAGTTTTCGAAACATTGCGGCGCACCGGCTTATTCATAAGGTTTAGGAGAACAGTGGAATGATCAGTAGGGGCATTAGTGAGTACGAGAGATTTCGTTGGGTGAACTGTTTTTAGCATCATATGATCATAGCACATTTTGTCACGAGTTGGAAGCCTATGAGCAGGAAGCAATCCATGGTAAGCAAGTGAGGTTAAATAATTGGGGCAGTTATTGTCTATGGAACCGAATTTGATATCTATGTTTATGTCACCGGTTAAAATAATGTTTTCATAACTTTTATAACGGCGAAGTAAGGTTTGAAGAGATGAGGTGAAGTCGTCAGTGTTTCGTATTGAAGGTGTACGATATATACCTATTAGAACTGTATCAGTTAGGGTAAGCACAAGACAAGAGGCATTTCTAATGCAAGGTTCTGATATTTTGTAGTTAAGTTTCTTATGTATGTAAAATACCACGCCGTCACACTGATTTAAGGTGTTTTTTGTAAAATATTTGTTATAGTCATTATTAAGTGTTGGAATGGGCTTATTTTTTGAAAGATGACATTCTGTCATGACTAGTATGTCGCAATGAATGTTTAGTGAGTCTAACGTTTGAAAAGTGTCAAAATTTTTATAAATACTCCTTATGTTTTGAGTGAGAATGGTTAAATGATTAAATGTAGTTATGTGAGAGTGGCAATCCTCACGCCTGCACATAAAGGCCTGAGCAACTTCGGTATTGTCTATGTCTGTATTAGTTTGTAGCAAACTATCCATTATTATTCAGAAAGGGCTTTCGTTCCCACTAGTCTGGTAACAAACAAATTTACGAGTAACATTCAGGATTGCATAAAAAGGATATTCTCCAAAGTTACTGCAATGTGAAAAATACTGGAAAAAATTTTGTTTATCTTCGATCAGGAGTGAACTTAAATTATTAACTTTTATTATTAATTTTCGATAAAAGAACAGCAAATTTTTTGGTATAAGATATGTATGTAAAAGAGTGCGGTGATTAATTTTTATGTTTATGAATGTGATGTTTGATGTGCGAGCTTGTGTAAATAGTAGTGTTCGTGATATGTACATATACTTATATATAATATGAAAAATGTAAACAATGCAAAATATACAATAAAAGTAGAAAAGGAGGTAAACAATAATAATATCAAACCAAGAACATGTCTGAGCTATAAATATAAATAGTCATTTGTTAATATACATGTTTTTGATTTGACATTCGTTCTCTATTTTTATGATCGGTGAGTTCTCATCCTTCCTCACAGAAACGTTTCCGAGCGATGTACAGCAAAACTTATATTTCTGAGTTCTGGTTAATTCTCTAGCCAAGTAGAGGTCTATTGCCTTTTTTGTGTCAAATGGTCCGACACAAAAATTGGAGTGTTGTTGCCTTTTAATCCCAAATGCTGCGAATTGAGTTTATTGCTTTTATTTTGAAAATTATATATTTTTGCAGCGTGCAATATATTCGTCTTCTGTATGTAGGATGACAATTCGACTACTATGGGCTTTTTGTCGCCCTTGTGAGAGGATCTATAAATGTCTTTTATATCGTTGGTTTTGAGTTCAACTTTGAGCGATGTAGATAATTGAGTAACCATATTTATTAGGGATGATTTTGATTCATTATCCATTTTCGGCACATTTTTTAATTCAAATGAGCATTTCCTATATGACTTTTGCAGATCCTCGATTTTATTTTCTAATATGCGTATGTATTCTTTATCCTTCCGTCTTTCACGTTCCATTTCTTCTATTTTTTTCCTCATATCTTCAAATTGTGCAGACATAAATGCCATCGAGTCTTCAATTGTTTTTAGAGAAGACGTAATTTGTATTCTTTCGCTATTTTGTTGAGACATCCATGAGGATAACATGTCTTTTATTTCATTTTTAAACTCGCAGAAGTCTATGGCTGCCTCCTCCAAGCGTTTCCTCTTAGTACGCGTATTTGTAAAGCTTGCTGGCGAAAGATTGGCGAAAATTCAGTATTACTGATTTGTCGTAAGTTAGATTCGGAGCTTGATTTTTCGGGTGTACGATACATTTCTTATCGGTTTGGTCGCTTACGATACTAGGACAGCAGAAGTACGAAGTGATTGGCCCGAAGGGCGGAACTAGTATATTGTCACTAATTCTAATAATATTGCAAGGTGGTGTAGGTGGAGATTTTAAAAGTGCCGAATGGTCGTCGTAAAATAAATTCCAATAATTTTCATGCACTTACGGTACCAGGATTGCAGAAGTATGTAGTGATTAGTCTATAGGGCGGAGCTAGTTAGTTGTCCCTGCTTCGTAGATGCTGGGTGGGGCTTCGAGGCTGTGGTATCTATGACCGTAGTATAATCCGGTACGATTATGCACTCCTATTTTTTTAATCGAATTTTTGTCACAACTGAATTTAATTAGGATTTTAAATTGTTATAAAATAATATTAGTTAACACGTCTGCACTTGACTGCGGTCCGGAGGAAGAGGGAATTATTTAGCAGTTACTCTCACAATTTCGTAGCTTTATGAACAAATATTTAGCAGTGTTACTTTTACAATTTTGTAGCTTTATTAAATGGTATTTACGTCACAAATATTTAGCAAGGTTACTTTTACAATTTCGTAGATTTATGAAACAGTATTTACTTCACAAATATTTAGCAGGGTTACTTTTACAATTTTGTAGCTTTATTAAACGGTATTTACTTCACAAATATTTAGCAGGGTTACTTTTACAATTTTGTAGCTTTATGAAACGGTATTTATTTTACAAATATTTAGCAGAGCTACTTTTACAATTTTGTAGCTTTGTTAAACGGTATTTACTTAACATATATTTAGCAGAGTTACTTTTACAATTTTGTAGCTTTATAAAACGGTATTTACGTCACAAATATTTAGCAGGGTTACTTTTACAATTTTGTAGCTTTATTAAACGGTATTTACTTTACAAATATTAAGCAGGGTTACTCTTACAATTTTGTAGCTTTATTAAACGGTATTTACGTCACAAATATTTAGCAGGGTTACTTTTACAATTGTGTAGCTTTATGAAACAGTATTTATACTTACTTCACAAATATTTAGCAGGGTTACTTTTACAATTGTGTAGCTTTATGAAACAGTATTTACTTTAAATATAGCAGGGTTACTTGTAGAATTTTGTGGCTTTATTAAACGGTATTTACTTCACAAATATTTAGCAGTATTACTTTTACGATTTTGTAGCTTTATTAAATGGTATTTACTATATTATAATTGGGTTACAATGTCACATTTTTACAAATCAATTGTATTATAAAGTTTATTAGTTACGGATCAGGTGTTGAGATCTCGTTATAAATTTCATAAAGCGCGAACAACACGTTCATTCTCGGGTCGCACCACCGAAGTTTTAATTCGATTTACCACTTGCTCAGCTCTCACATGTCTGAAATAATAATAAAAATACTTTAAAAGATTTTTGAAATCCACCAACACGTTTTTTAACAAATTTATTGTAATTTTTTCGAATATTGCCTAAGATATACGATTTTTTTAATTATTAAATTAGTAATTTTATTTCGCAGTTAAGCAAAGCTGAAAGGTCCATAGAGCGACGCGACAAACAGCTCAAGGATATGAGCCACAAACTTGATATAGCACATCAAGAGCAAGAAGCTGCTTCTGCGAAGGCTGCCTCGTTGAAGGAACAGCTAGATGCGGCCAATTCACAGTTAGAAGCAACCAAACAGAAGTTGCAGAACACGTCTAAGGAGTTAAAGGTCATTTCTTAGGATCCTCCCAATCCTAATACTAATCATTAAGACATAAATATATTACTTACTTCCACAGAACAAATAATAGTACTGCGTTGATTAAAGATAATATAGATGCGTAAATATAAGAAATGCATTACAATAGTACTGCGTATTATTACTAGCTACGTGGTAGGACACTTCTTTAATATTTCTGCGTTCAAGCAACAATGCGTCCATATACGAGTACTACGACAAAAAGGATATGAGACATTACATCTTAGTACTCAGAGGTGACGACGCATTTGTGGCCTTTGTTGTTAGTTGGTTACAGGTATCCATGGGCCAGTAGTCACCATGAGATGGACTGTTAGTTAATTTTTCTTTCCAATTATACTTTAAAAAAATGCCAAAATTAAGTGTCCTCGTCTAGTTAAGATATATGTAATACAATTTAGAGCCGATTTTTCAATCGTCAGATAAAAGTGGTCCATCAAGAAATTAAAACCTGACTCAAAATAAAATTTAAAAAAAATTGACCTATTTTATTAATTCAACTGTAGTTTTTAATTTATTCATGTTGTATTTTATTATAGGAGTAATTTTTATCTTCCTATTGAAAAATCGACCTAAATATTTTTTTTAGAATATGAAAGACGATAGTGTCAGACTGCGCAACGAGATAACGAAGCTGAGTAAGCAGTCTACCCAGCAGATGAAGAAGTATCAGCTTCTAGAACAGAATAAAGCCAATATTGAAGCAGAAAGGTTAGAAGAAACAACTGTTCGACAAAACTTGCTAATCAAATCAGAGTGTAATAATAAGTGATTATGAATTTTGGGCGTATTATTTTTTTTATAATGCGCGAGCAGTTATGCAGGTAAGAGATCAGTATCACTTTGACCTAAAAGATCTATTGTGATGCTAAGAAGCAATTTCACTTCTTCTGGGTGGAATACATAGTTTCCCACATGAGTGTTGCGTTTGCGCATTAAGGGTCCGCAATCAGTTAGGATGTGCAGAGGCCTTTCTTCCGTTAGAGTACAGAACCGACACATCCTTGAGTTACTTAGTCAGGATGGACAGATAAGAAAACAGAGTCCAGATAGGGCTCTTGTCAGAATGCGCAATTTATTTTTACTTAATCCTAGGGTTTTTGAAGCGAATTTACGATCAAAAGCCCAGATGAAGGTTCTAGAGTGTTTTAAGCCTGGTGTGTCAGACCAGATTTTAAGTGATTTATATATAAAGCATTTCCCTCCCTGCGAGCCCTCCCGTGCGAGCTTGTCAGCAAGTTCATTGCCTACAATACCCGCGTGACCCGGAATCCATCTTAAGACGACCCTGTTTTACATCTCAGAGCGTTAAAATGGTTTACGTAGTCTCCAACTAGCTTCCAGTTTACTAAGTTTGACCTCAGTGCTAGCAGTGCTGCTTGACTATCAGAGTTAATAATATAAATTAGATGGTTGACGTAGTGTTTTTGCAGATTCATTTCTGCACACTGAAGTATGGCGAAAATTTCTGCCTTTAAGATGGAGGTGAATCTACCCAAATTCATACTAAGCTTGAATTTGGGGCGTTCCCCATAAATTCCAAAGCTTACGTCGAGCAAGTTTTATATTCACAGCAAGTTTTATATTCCACAACGATGGACAATTGTCAAAGTTCAAGTTCAAATTTCTCCTGGAGAAATTGCTGTATTGCGGAACTGTTTAAAAAAATTATGTCACTTTTAATTCATTCATCCATTAATTACAGCTTGCCAAAATTGCTAAAAATATTAATTCCCCATAGATTACATTAGGGGGGGAGGGGGCAAGCGAGTTGCCAACAGCAGTTTTTTTATTATTTTTAGTTGTTACGTCAGAAAAGTTGTGCTGCTCATCTTCTGTTTCTTCTCCCTCATTCGCATCTTGCGACACCCACGGGATGTTATGGGATAGTAAATAATTTGAAAATTTTGTTCAGAGAGCGCCTCCGCCAACAAGTAAGTGTGATGGAAAGGGAGATCATGCTCACCAACAAACACGCGGAAGCTGATAAAAGGGAGATTGAGAATCTCAACAGGGAGAAAGACATTTTGAACAAGAATGTTCAGAAGATACAGAGTAAGTTTACTGTGAAAACCTATAATATTTTGTAGTAAAACGCTTAAAAGGATTTGAGCGCTCGCTGTCAACGCGAAGAACCCGCATTCGATTCCCGCTGGCAAAATGAAAATGTTCATTTATGATTAAATACATGCTCTGCGGTAAAAGAAAATATTGTAAGTAGAAAGGAAATAAGTATATAATAATTAACTTATTCTCCATTTTCAATGAAATTTAATCCCTATTTTTCAACCTTTAGGAATAAGTACAACTTTTTTAATTACAAATGGTCATTAAAATCTCTTCACAATCAGGGTTTCTTACGTTTACTTATATTTAGCTTTTTATAATGTAAAGTTGCGTTTTAAATAAAAGTTTATCAGTTTCTAGTGTATTATGTAAATACACAAAGCAATGCCTCTGTGGTTTGCACTTTAATTTTTTGTACATTTTTAACTCTTTTTTTAACTATAGGAATATTCTTAGACTGATATATTTCTAATATGATTAATATAATATAACAAACATTACAAAAAGACACATGACATTTAAGGTTAACTGTTAAAAATTTCACCTTATTCCTAAGTAATGAAGCGCCGCCTTGGTGACAAAAAATGTTTCATTGAAGAATATATCGATCAACATAATTGTATAAAAATTTTACATTGGAACTAAGAAGCTCCTGATTTTTTGAAGTATGCTAATAAAGAGGACATTGTAGAAACATGCGTATTATCTGAAAAGTTGTAAATATCAAGTCCGACAACACACATTGGGGCAGCGCGACGTGTACTCTTTACTGCTCCAGAAACTATTTTTGGTCTGTGTCCAGAAGTGGGATGTATGTAGGCTGTAATCTTTACTAATTAAAGACTGATTTACAATTTTAGATAAAGTAATGGGTATTGACTTTGTATTGATGACTGAAATTAAGTCGTTAGCGCTGTGTAAAATATAGCCACTTATATTTTTGGCTGCGACTTGCTGGCTGCAAACAATATTTAAAATATTTCTGTAGCCTCCCTTAAAAGTAAAATGCAGGTGATTCATGAACTGAGTAGTTATCAATCGATATGTGAACTGTCGGCTCATTTTAATTATAGTCTATGTATGTCCCAATGCTCGGCCCAATCCCCTTATTTTTGAGAGTTGTAGAGTGATTAGGCAGACACGCTACTCCAGTGATGGATTATCTCGCATATCCTCGAAATATTATATTCCTCTGACATGCAGGTTTCCTCGCGATGATTTCCTTCACTATCGAGCGTTCCATTGAGCGTAATTTTGTTGACGGCTGGTAAATCGACGGGGATCGAACTTTTACTCGCGTACTATGAAATGTGTGGCGGGCGCTTAGCTCCTAATCTACCATGGCTTCTCACTTTCATTTTGTTAAATGTTTACATAAATAAGTTGCAAACAGATGAAGCGCTGGAGAACCTGCAAATGTTGGCCCTGCAGGAGCAGAGACGCAAGCAGCTGGAGCACGAGCTGCAGGTTCACGCCGCGCAGACGAACAAGCAACGTCTCACTATCCGACAACTAGAAAAGGACAAGGACAGGTATCACCTTTCAATGAAACCTTTATTTACAATAAAAATAAGTTTCCCTTGTCAAACGCTACGGTTACAGTTGTGGTATCATCAAAAGTATACATAGGCTTTCCTAAAGAACGCCACAAAGATGGTTCTAAGCCATCTGCATCCATCATGCAAAAACTTCTGGCATCTTTTACCAAGTCGTCACTCCATATTATGGGGAGTATTTTGTAACTGTAATTTGTATTAATAATTATTAATTACACTTGATATTCACTTAATACTATCCTTGGGTGACGTAAGAGGCGACAGAGGGAAACAGGCGGGAGATCATCATCATCATTACAGCCCTTCACAAGTCCACTGCTGAAAATAGGCCTCCCCCAAGGAAGGCCACAAAGCACGGTCCCGAGCCACCTGCATCCATCAACTTCCTGCATGTCTTACCAGGTCGTCACTCCATCTAGTGAGGGGACGCCCTACACTTCGCCTGCTGGTACGAGGCTGCCACTTGAGAACCTTTTTGCCCCATCGGTTATCGGTTCTTAGAGCTATATGGCCGGCCCATTGATACTTCAGCTTACTATTCCGTTTGGCTATGTCTGTCACACTGGTTCTACTGCGGATGTCCTTATTCTTAAGTTTATCACACAGAGAAACTCCGAGCATAGTCCTCTCAGCAGCTCGCTGAGCGATCTTGAGCCTCCTCATACGACCAGCAGTGAAAAACTACGTCTCAGATCCGTAGGTCATCACTTATTCGGTCATCACGAGCTTAGTACTCTCAACAACCACCGGCATCGATGTGCCATGTTACGTTACACATGACTTTTGTTTTGTGCATGTTCATCTTAATTCCTATCCGTTGAGCGACACTATTGAAGTCATTGAGCACAAAGTCCTCCAGCGATTCTACCATAAGGACTATATCGTCGCCAAATCGAAGGAGAGTGATGTATTCGCCATTGACGTCAATACAGTATCCTTTCCGGTCCAGTAGCTTGAAAACGTCTTCCAATGCAGCGGTGAAGAGTTTTGGGGATGTTACGTCACCTTGTCTTACACCTCTGTGGTTGGATAGGTTTCGTACTCTGGTTCTATACTCGGATGGCAATAGTAGCCCTACTTCAACAAACACTTAGCACTTCGACATACCGACAGTCAACTTGGCTCCGCTGAAGGGACTGCAGCACCGTCCAAATGTCGACAGAATCAAAGGCGTTCTTCATAGTCCACATACGCAAGACAAAGTGGCAGATTGTACACTTGGGACTTCTGTACAATCTGCCGAAGGGTATGTATGTGGTCTTTGGTGTTAAAGCTTTTTCGGAAACGGGCTGGTAGGCTGGAAGTCGTCGACTCTGAGTGCGAGACGATTCGTAATCACTCTCGAAACGCTAAATTAGCATGTAGACGCAGCTCAGAAGGAAAATCAGTCTATAGTTCTTCAGCAGAGCGTTGTCGCCTTACTTGAAGAACAAGACCACCGTACTTCTGCTCCACTCCTCCGGAGTAATGCCACCATGGAGGACGGAATTTAAGAGCTTCTGAAGGACTTGTATCGGTTTTTCACCCGCTTTTAGAAGCTCCTATAAGTTAAGTTTAATTATAGATATTAATTGTAATTTATACCTATAAAAACCTGAATGAGCAAGCCCAAGATCAAGACCAAGACTGAATACGTAAGACCAAGATAATAAGTATTTGAGCAAGACCAAGACTAAGACCGGACAATCAAGACCGAGACCAATACCAAGTATGTCTTGATCTTGGTCTTCCTTTGCTCATCACTACGGCGAATATAAATCATAATTGATTTTTTTTCGCAGAATGTTAGAAGAAACGATTGCTCTCAACGATAAAATTGATGAAATCACAGGTACGAATGAATATCGTTTAGTTGTTGCTTTTGAAGTTAACACTTCGTCAAGTAATTTAAAGTCCTAAAATACCTCTATGACAATCATAATATTGCACTTATAAGATAATATAAGTAGCCGTATATCAAGAAAACACTAATTAATCGATCTTAATATTTTCTAAAAAATCATTTTGTTAAACTGGTCATTTTGATAAAAACGGTTTGAAAAAATTTTACGTGGAAGTCCGAATTTTCCTTTTGTATGTGGTCACGATAACTTCCAAATAAATTAGCGTACCGAGAGCGGGTTTATTTATTAGCTTCAGAATTACATCAACTGGTTCCCTATTTCATACCAATAGCTTACGCGTAGTTTGTTAATAATATATATGATTTAGGCGTTTCCATTTTTTAACCCTTGATAGACGAAGGACTAAAGGTACAATACAGCCTAAATCAATTTTATACTTTGTGTTATCGATTTATTTTGGTAAACGTCAATAATTTTTTCTCTGTAGATGATACTACCTATGAAAATAATAGAGCGCTTAATTTAAAACACGTAAATAATACATATAATTTAAAAGTCAGGAATATAATTTATTTTATTCATCAAAATTTAATTTAAACGCTCATGAGGCGTGCACTTTTGGATTTTCCAAACTATTTTGTACTGACCTTACGCATCTCCTTATATGATTTGATAATATAATAATTGCTGCTCGGACTACGAGTGCCGATGGACATGAAAACAAGACTATCTAATCTTCTTAATATATAAAAATATATTTATATATTAAAAAGATTAGGCATATTTTATGCGCTGCCATACCGTTCATCAGATTGCGCTAAAACTTTGTCAACTTATTGCTTGAACTTGCGCGAAAGCTATAAGCATAGAACAATTAACTTACAGTAGGGTGGCGCGTCTATCGTACCGACAAATTTATTTGAAAGTCATGTCATTCAATTTTAATGAATGTATATTATCATTCGTAATGAAACAACATAACTCTTCCAAATTTAAAATGATATTTTCTCAATTATTTTTTTTTTCTGCGGTAGTAACGTGCCGGGTACCAGTACCAATAATCTCAATAATACAAATTAGTCGTCTTTGAATAGTATTCTTACTGCCGCACTCAGAGACGTTTAATGATTACTTAAGCCGTCACTTAGTAAAGATTTATAAAAGTTGACTCTCAGAGTGAGTTAATGATTCATTAGCTAAGTAATATGTATTAATACGTTTGTACAGAATAAAGACGAAGAACTATTATTTCCGTAAACCAATTTATTTACATAGCAACCCTTACGATTTATCGACAATTATCGATATTGCTTAGCACGACCACATGCGTCCTTAAGTAACTGATTAGCTAATGAACCATTAAATTTAGTCTCTGGGACGTATCACTCATTAGCGAAGATAATGGTAATTTGTTAAGTATTCATTAAGGCTAATTTAATGAAGCTCTCTGAGTACGACAGTTAATGATTTTGTCACTGTAATGTAAAGGAATGACGGCATATCCTTAGATAGGTGATGACTGGCCGTACGGTGGTGGCGAAGAGACTCCATTGCCACATTTCCACCCGGTCATGTCGTTAGAGGCGTCTATGGCAAATGCCACAATGATCTCATGGCTTTCGATAGATGGTATAACCATCTCAAAATCCAAGACAACATCTGATACTGTGATTGCCAAGTCGCCTGCTAATCGTGACGGTTAAGGCAAATTCATCTTACAACCGGACAGGTCCAGTCAAGATGGAGAGATTGAACACATATTGGTTCATAAATAACTTATACTACTTGCGATTATGGTTACTTGATTGGATATGGTTACTTGAAACTTTAGCTTCATTTTTGTGATGTGTATCCAAATTAACGTTCACATAATTTATTTTATATTATTAATCTACTAACTTTAAAAACTGACCGGTTTCGTCTCACGGTATATTAGGTTAACAAACATATTAGGTATGTGTTCGTTACTCTTAAAATCCTAATATGCACATGTATTGATTCGTGTAGGTGATCATAATAATGTTCCACATTTCAGAGGAGGTCCGTCTCCGCACCGCCGACATCTTGGATTTGAAAAAGGTGATTCGAGACGAAGGCATCAATTCGCGCAAGCTATCCGTGTCACTCGACGCGACTCGAACTGAGAGGAACATGTTACATAAGAATTACACGGAGGCATTGGATGAAATACAGGATCTGAAACAAAAGCAGAAGGTGAGGATGGGTATTCTCTTGGCCAACTTCAACCATGGCGACAACTGCTGAGTCACTGACTATTGGAAATATTTATCGCTTTATGACAGTCGATATAATCTCAAATAAGCCTAAAAAGTCTACAGTGGTAAAATGGTTATATAGAAAGAAGGTTACGGGATGGAAACAAGGGTTTGGCTTTTCTTGATTGAACTTGGTTGAAAATGTTCATGGCCACCATTACATCGACTATTATCTTGCTTGTCACTTTTTTATGAAAAAGCTGATATTTTATACTACTCGCCGTTTTTACATTATTACAGATGCTAGCGTATCAGATAGAGCAATTAAAAGAAGACATCACTGGCAAGGAAACGGGTCTAAAAACGTGCGAAAGCACGCTTGCAAAGTGCAACAAAAAGAACGAGCAGCTTCGAGCCGAAGTGCAAGCTGTCACAACAAAGTTGTCTGAAGCGAAAGCCGACATTACCGCGCTCAGACAGGAGGAGGCGCGTCTCAACAGAATTATTCAGGTGCATTTTAACAGATATATTCAGGTGTGACTTAACTAACCATAACTATTCTGGTGTGACGTAACAGAATCATTTAGGTGCGATGGTACTGGCATGAATGCGGCGTACGTAAAGTTGTAGAGAATGTCTCTGACAAGGAGAGAGTTTAATGAAATGGTTAAACAAACTTTCCTTAAGTGAAGTTGGACCATAGTTATACGATTATTAAGGTGTAAGTTACAGGATTATTTAGGTGGAACTTAACAGAAATATTAAGGTACCTACGCCTAAACAGATTTATAGAGGTGCTCCTAACAGGATGGGTTTATCCACCCTAAGAAATCCACTAGTCGGAAACGCATGTTCGTTTATCCACCCTAGACTGGGGTGGATAATCGGAAGTCACTTTTTGATTGTTGTTCTGCCTTTCCACCCTAAGTACAGTTGAACAGAAAATATATTCATATCTTAACATATTATTGATTAATTTTAAATAACTACAAACTTAAACAAAAATCATATTACGTATTACATTTAAACCAAATTAAACTTCCTTGTTTTAAATAATAATAAATAATTTAAAGCTATAAATTCTACGATTTGTCCAGGAAATGACCATAACCAATTTCGTTATTGAGTAGACGTAATTGTATATCCTGTATAATTTCGTCTCTCAATAAAAGATATTTTAAAACTTGTTAAATACTGTACTATTTCCAATACTGTGTTTATATAATTAACAATATAGTTATTTAATTTAAATACCTACTTCAATAAAATATAATTGAAATGAATTGCAGTAAAACCTTTCATCATAAGATATCTCTAAAATGACGTAAATTATGTCATATAGAATGATATGTACAACGACAAAATAATCACAAAGTTTAAAAATGTAATTGATCAATTAAAAGTATTTCAGTTTTGACCTTTAAACAGTTTTTCAGTGTTTTGAAGTATTTATGTATTTTTATAAGTATGCTAATGTAATCTTGGGCAAGTTTCCATTATGTTTTTATAAACGACTGTACACAGTCTAGGGGGGAAGTCGGAAGAAAAATAATATACGAATTCCGATTATCCACTCCGTCTGGGGTGGATAAACGAACACGCGATTCCGAGTAAGTACCTACCCACCCCAGGGTGGATTTCTTAGGGTGGATAAACGGAATAACCCAATGGGATTATTCAAGTGTGACTTAACTTAATAATTTAGCGATTTTACATCAAACATATAATTGAGTTGGTTGTTATCCTTTGTATTATTTCCTGTAGCTTTCTTCTACTCGTTAGACCCTTTGGATGAAAGGGGGTAATATTATATTCTGCTATATAAACACCACACAGTGAAAGAAACCTTAGCTAATGTTGTAGCTAAGTTACATATACAAACTTACATTACTTCGCTACATTTACACCCTTAAAATTATTTGGGAAAATGTCCCAACTCTGCAACTCAATATGCTATTAAGAATAAAAAAAATATCGTAAAATACCTACACATTCCCGTCTTACAGTTTTCTTACAGGGACAAGAACGGGTTACTTCTGACTCGCACGAATTAACACCCCATGGTTTTCCACCTTCGCCGTATATGGGCATTGCCACATGAACACTTTCCCACACATCCGCGGCCGACCAGTAAATAAAGACTTACGTCACCTCATAGATCAGTAATTACCGCGCCAAAGCGTTGCCACTGCATATATGGCCACAGCCATGTGCCTAGCTAACGTCAGTCCAGTGTTCAATGCACTCTTATCTATGGTTTAATGTGACGCCGTCAGAGTTGAACCGCGACAAAAAATGGGTAAATGCGTAGTGAAAGAATGCTATTAAGGTCACAAAAACGTAATAAATCAAGCGGAATCCCTTTCAACACATAATTTTTAGTTCTTGTTTTCATATAAACGTAAAAAACCTCAAATAATTAAATAAAATTATCGAATATTGCCATTTAGGTTCAATGTTGCCACTTTTCCGCATTTGTGATTATCTTACATAAATGGGAGACTATATAATTAATGGAGTAAGTTAATTTGTTACCTCTGATTTTAAATATTTTGGAAATTATAATAAAAACTACGTTTTAACTTTCATACAAAATAATTAATTATTCTTATTTTAGTTTATTCATGAATTATCTATTAAATATATTTTATTACCTACTTATTTTATATTAATAATTTTATATTAATTATATTTTATTACCTATGTTATATTGTTTGTTTTATTAGTACAATAAAAATACTTATGAACTTTTTTACTATTTTACTCCTATTCATCTGATAAGCTTTGTATCCTTTTTTTATAAGGGGACGCAATAAAGATTTTAAAATAAAATATACTTTTTTAATATAAAAACAATTAACTGCAGCTTAAAATAACTCTTTTTTTTGCTTATTTTAGGTAAAAATTCATATGGTAAGCCTTGGTGTGGCCCGCCATTGCATGTTTGTCATTCATCATTCATCATTATCTTATCTTAGCGACGATATTGTTTTCGCAACTTGTGTAAGAGAGATAGTTTAGTGAGATATATACTTACTTACTTACTTATCTTCACGCACAATCCCTAACGGGGTAGCCAGAGAGAACAGATCGCCAAGTGTCACGATCCTTACATACCTCTTTCGCTTCTTTCAGGTTCATTAACTTCTTCATACATGCACGTCTAGGTATCCGAGTACTCTTGACCCTCCCCTCTTCGAGCAATTTGCTCACATGGTCTTCGAAAGTTAGTCTCGGTCTACCTCGACACCTTTTAATATTTACTTTCGCTCTATATATTTTCTTCACCATTCGGTCTTCACTCATTCGTTCAACGTGCCCAAACCATTGGAGTATGCCCCTATCAATTTTTGTGATAAGGTCATCTTTCAATCCTGCCATATTGCGAATCTCTTCGTTTCGCTTTCGGTCGGCTATGGTAACGCCACACATTTTACGAAGAGATCGCATCTCCACTGCATTCAACTTGCTTTTATGCTTCTTCTGGCATACCCAGGTTTCGCTGCCATATAACAAAGTCGGTACCAACACTGCGTTATGTATTGCAAGGCGTGCACTCTTCACCACGCCTTGCCTTTTTACTAATGCATTCAGGGCACCATTGACTTTGTTTCCGGCAGCGACACGCCTATCCACATCTAAATCACATCTTCCATCCCGGCTGAAAGCACTCCCCAAGTATACAATTTCATTTACCTGTTCTAGACATTCCTGATTTACCCATATTTCACATTTCGTTCTCTCTTCGTCCTTTTCAAATACCAGAACCTTAGTTTTATTAGCATTCAAACGGAGACCTTTAATTTCACATTCCTCTTTCATACACGTGACTAATGCCTGCAGTTCTGCTTCTGATGGTGCATTAAGCACTGCATCATCAGCATACAGCAGACAATTAACTTTTATGTCACCCAATTTCACACCCAAACAGCTATTTTTCAGCTTCTGTAAACAGCTGTCGAGATACAGTATGAACAGCCAGGAAGACATGACACAACCCTGTTTTACGCCCGCTTGGACGATAAACATGGGTGACAGGTCATGCCCTACCCGCACACAGGCTTTACAGTCATAGTAAAGTGACTGCACAGCCCTTAACAATCGACCATCCACACCATATCCCGGCAACAGTTCCCACATTTTCTTCTTTATAACCTTATCAAATGCTTTCTCAAGATCCACAAAAGCACAGAAAATCCTCTGGTTAACACTCAGAAGCTTCTCCGTGATCATGCGGAGAGAAAACATTTGATCCGTGCATCCTCTTCCAGGTCTAAATCCGCGATTAGTGAGATATATGTTTATTTAAAATTGTTATTAGTTTCAAAGCTACATCGTCGCCTTTGGATAGTGGATACGCTTTTTTCGACGCGCGGTAATGTGGTTTGCTCCTCTAGTGTTGTAACTCAATGCGTCACCTACCTCACTTTAGTTCAGTCAATACAGGAACTATAACCACGTCAATTTAATCGCTATAGGAAAGTGATGCGGCCCGCGGGAAGCAGATGAAAGAGTTAGAGGGTCTGATGAACGAACGCGATGTAATCGGCGCTCAGCTGGTGAGGAGGAATGACGAGATATCGCTGCTTTATGAGAAGATACGAATACTAGAGGTCACACTCCATAGAGGTGATTTTTTTTTATTTATTTGATACCATAATATACACATACTTTTTACTGGACAACTTACACGGTATGTTATCCAGTAAAAAGAACATGTGAACTTTAATTTTTTCTGAATTTAGAGATAAAAACATTGACGGTTCCGTGGCGCAGTGGCTTAGCAATTTAGAGCGATAAGGGCCGCGGGTTCGAATCCCATACGGAACAAATATTTGTATGGCCTACAATTAATTGTTCCGGGTCTGGATGTGTGTCCATGTGATGACGATGTTTATAAACTGCCCCCACGATACAAGAGAAAATCTTAGTGTGGAGGTAACGTTTAAAAAAAAAAAGAAAAAACATAAAATAGAGAACAATTGAACGATGTGCTTACAACTGTAAATTTACCTCCTAGTGGTGGTCGTGGCTTTGTGAAAACTACACTCTTATATGGCAAGGAGCTCGATTCTGGCATCATTCAAAAAATAAGCGTAGCAAGCATGCGGCCAGATTCTGGTCGCTCGGTCTGTAATGAATAATAGAATGAATTATTTGCTATTGAACCACTGTTCGTTTTAATAAGAAATACCCGCATGACCGAGCTTTGATCGATTTTTTTTTTTGAAATTACATTTAGATACAAATTACATACTGATGAAACATAAATAATACTTATTTTTTGATCTTATTGACATAATAGAAAAAACTGAACTGGTTATTTGAATTATAAATCATGAGTGCAATTAGTTTAATTAAAATTTTCTTATTCTTAAAAAAAATCTAAAAAAAGAGCTCGAAATAATAGATTTTCTCACAAAAGAAGGGAAAAAAAATATCGTACCGAAGACGGGACGCGAAACAAGGCATTATGCTTTCGCGACCGCTCGATATCCACTTGAGCTATTACGATCATTAACACAGTGTCAAAATTTACCTTCTTATATTGTAGCAGTTTTTCATGGCCTAAAAACATGGACAAAAAGACATTTTCTAAAAATAAATCCTAGCTAGATCGATTTATTGTCCCCGAAACTCCCTGGACACAAAATTTTATAAAAATCCATTTATATATTTTGAAATTACATTTATATACTAGGTGATAGTTTTAGATAGTTAGGTTTAGATACTAGGTGGTTACATACTGATGAAACATATGTATAATATTTTTTGATCTTATTGACATAATAGAAAAAACTGAACTGGTTATTTGAAAAATCATGAGTGCAATTAGTTTAATTAAAATTTTCATATTTTTAAAAAAATACTAAAAAAAGGGCTCGAAATAATTGATTTTCTCACAAAAGAAGGGATATATATATATATATATATATATATATATATATATATATATATATATATATATATATATATATCGACGCTGGAAAGGAAAAAATTACTAAGCGACACTTTGGTCGATATTGAGTTATATATATCATTGGAATCGGATTTTTTTTCTGCGTCGATTGGTCCTACTCTCATTCTCCTGCGATGAATTTTATGTCGTTTAGTAATTTTAAAATTCGTGGGTTTTTCGGAGTTTTCGGCGACCAACCGACGAAAATTTTGTTCATTTTAAAGGACATTTTGTACTTTACTGTATTCCTACTTAGTAAATATATCCTGTTTTTGGTTTAAACTATTTTGGCTTTAAGTTACTTTTTCCCGAGCTTATGAAAAAATAATTATTTATTTAGCTAATTCTTACCGCTTAAAAATTTTATTTTTTTGCAACCTCTTACCTTTTTACCTGTCCTTAATATAAACGTTTTGTCATTTGGATATTTTTTACCAGTTCTTATTAACAAAAAATATGTCGTTTAGTGATATTTTTCCTTTCTATAATTTTGTCGCTTAGATAAATGTGACCTGCCGTTGTGAAATATTTTTTGGCGTTAAGATATCTCTCCCAGAAAGCTTTTTTTTAATAAAACGTCGGTTGAGTTTTTCGCGTTGATCTTGCACTGTCGTGTAGTCAGGCTGTGATTTAATATTCGAGTGGCCGTGAGGAACAAAAAATTGAATCATTGCGCGGCAAGCTGTCGCTTAGTCAACACGTGTGTCACCGCGCATCCCGATGACTCGCCGCTTAGACTAGATAACCGGTAATTACGTGTTACATATTTTTCTTATGTTGTATATTTGAGTTATTTTTATTTTACGTGTTTTAATCTATGTTTTAGAATAATGGATCGACAAAAACTGCGTTCATCGAAATTAATAGACCTAGCTTTAATGAATGCAGATATCAGTCCAAATACTTCGCTAAATGATAATAAAACCTCTGTAAGTTATCTCCTAATATCTTAAAGATTAACTTATAATTAACTTTATTTTGACAATAACATAGTTTTGATTTTCTATACAGGACTATTTACCCATACAAGATGATTATGGTGAGCATGTGACCGCAAATAAAAAAGGTATGAACCGGAAAAATCTCAAGAAGCAAGTATGCAGAAAGCTTTTGTTTGAAATGATTGAACCGTTGAATGATGCACCGGTATGTATATTCCTACCTATCAAATTTTATAACTTATCATCTATCCGATACTGTCCTATCCTAGCCAAGCATCCACGCGCGCAACACGTACGAACATACGTACTTACATCAAACGTGTCGACATCTATGTGTGCTGACACATCGTAAGCGATTCGTATTGCAATAAATAAAGTCCGTACAGTGCGCGTGAATTTTGGCGTAAAAGCTGATCAGAAACATTTTTAATCTTACTTACATAGCAATTATTTTTTTTATTAGTTTTATATTGAAAGTCGGAATGGGACAGGTAGGTAGCAATTATGATGTTATACAGTATTATATAAATTTGCACTATTTTAGGATGAAATGCTGATAAGTGCATCGACAAGCCCAGTTGCAAGTACATCAAAGGCACTTACCGTTTTTGAAGAAATTGAAAAGGTTTACAGTGAAGGTCCAGTAAATATAGATTATGCACACGTGGAAATCCCAGGTACGTCAACTCTAAACTCCAACCAAATCGCCGATAATGGGTTGAATACACCAAATGAGCAGACTCGAAGCACCATTACACCAAGTACCATTTCGACGAATTTGACAGTTGATGAAGGCTTTCGTTATGGGGATTCGAAAGCAGTAAAACGACGAGGTCGTAAACGTAATTGTAAAACTAATAAACGTTATATTGACTACTTATCCGATGATGAAGATTTTTTTTACATTTTTTAATTGCGATGGGGCTGATTTGGATTCAGATGAATGGTCGGGATCAGAGACGTCAGAAAACGATGATGTAGGTGATATTAGGACAAAGAAGAAGAAAAACCCAAAATCTAAGCAGAAGAAAAAGGTAGTTTTTATTATACAAGAAGAACCAATTGTAGGTGAAGAAGGTTTTAGAAAGGAGAAGAAAAATTCAAAGAAAGAACGACAACAAAAACGATTCAAGGGCGAGGAATATGTACGAAAGGATGGTAAAACTGTAAATGCTAAATGTCTTCAACCCAATCCATGTAGTGGAAAAAAATGTGGCAACAATTGCGAAAATATTTCGGATGAGAGAAGACAGCAGGTGTTCGATCATTTTTGGAAACTGACAGTAGACCGCCGACGAGACTGGTTGGTTAATTTAACACAAAAACTAGCTGTAAAACGTAAACGTACCAACTCAGACACCCGTGTTAATACTTTTAAATACCACATAAATGAAGGAGAAGGAAGGCGGGTAGTATGCTTGCAATTCTTGGCTGCTACATTAGACATTTCAGCAAAATCTATCTACCATACGGTCAAGAACTCTGAATGGGGCTGTGCTAAGGAAGATTTACGCGGAAAATGTATACCACCGAATAAAACAAAACCAGATACCACTGAGAACGTTGTGAAATTTATTAAAAGTTTACCGGCAGTACCGTCTCATTATTGTCGCCATGATTCCTCCCGAGTCTACCTTCCGCAAGAATTTAAAAATATTCCAAATGTCTACAGCATTTATAAAAAACGTTTGGAGGGCGACGGTGTTGATTTTGTTAGTGAAAAAGTATTTCGTAGAATTTTTACAGAGGAATTCAACATAGGTTTTCACGTGCCTAAAAAAGACAAGTGTTTGAAATGTTTAAAATTTGAGCGGTCAGATACTACAGATCCAGTTAATGCGGAAAAAAAAGTTGCTCATGAAAATGAGAAAAATGAGAGCTACAACCGTTTTTTTGCTCACAAAAACATCCATAAAATTGATCCTAATACTCTATGCGTAAGTTTCGATCTAGAAAAGGTTCTAAATACTCCACACGGCGAGTCCATGCTGTTGTATTACTCGCGTAAATTAGCGGTCTATAATTTGTGCTTCTATGAGAATGGTACTCGCAGAGTATTCTGCTTTTATTGGAATGAAAGTGATGGCAAAAGGGGTGCTAACGAGATAGCCAGTATTTTAAATAGGTATATAAAGTTGGTAGATGAAAGAGGTAACATAAAAAACTTGCTCCTTTATTGCGACTGCTGCCCAGGGCAAAATCGGAACCGGGTTGTCTTGGCGATGATACACTCGACTTTGCAAGAATGCAAAAATCTTGAAACGGTACAAATAAACTATTTACTAACCGGTCACACTTACATGCCTGTCGATAGTGTACATGCTGTTATAGATACTAATTTAAAGAAGACAATCATTTATGCACCATCGCAATGGTACACCGTATTTAGCACGGCAAGGAAAGATCCATTTCCATACGAGGTAGAAAATCTTCATTTTGAAGATTTTTATAAATGGGACTCAATATCTGAAAAATATTTTAAGGGCAATTTGACGGGAAAAATTAGTAAAATAAGGATTGCAACGTTTAAAAAAAATAAGCCTGAATCTGTTTCAGTAAAGTATACTATGGCACAATCTGGAAATGCAAGTGTAATTGAAATCCAGTCAAAAACCAGAGTGCCTCTTATGTCATGCTATCGATCATGTCTACCTATATCAAAGCTGAAATATGATGACTTAGCTAAACTTTGCAAGGACAAAGTTATACCTGGTCATTTTCAACATGAGTACTTAAACATTCCACATTCACAAACAGAAAAGGACAGATTACCTGAATCAGATATTGAGGATCTTGAGGTTTAAGCTACTTTAAAATATTTGGCAGTTGATTTAAGTTTAAATATTAAGTTACCATGTCATAGCTCTGAAATCTTCAAGTTCTAAGGATTTTGGAACTAAATCTAGATTTAACAATGAATGAAAACCTATTCAGTAAGTGTTATTATAATTACGAATTTTTGACTGATATTTACAGAATTTTATGGTACATTCATAGTATTTAATGATTAACATTGTGATATAGTTACTTAAAACAATCATTGAAATATCAATGGCTTCATATTTTTACATAAATATATTTAAGGATAATGATTTATTTTTAAGTATTTATATTTCTAGTAATTATTTTAGACTGATATATGTAAGTGCCTATAATTATATTAAATTAATAGTCATTATAGTTTTACAACTGTTAAAATGCTGGCCAAAAAATAAATATTACATAACATGTTGTGGTGTAATGCTAAGAAAAATATTTGATTATTTTAAAGATATTGCAAAGTTTACAGTTTGTTAAATAATTCTAAGTGATTGGCATTACAATTGCAAAATGTGATTTCTTAATATAATTTTTATAAAACCGAAGATCTGTGACGATATATGTTCCTTGTAATACTTGGTGTACTTTTTATTTTATTTTTAGAGGTTGTTTTGGTTTGTAAGCGTGATTTTGAATCACCAAATTTAATAATTGTTTTTTCTTAATAAAGAATTCTTTATAAAAAAATACTACTGTTTTTTTTTTGTCAAACCTAGGAACTTCATTGAATAATTTGAGGCAAGATCTAATTTTAATTTGTACTCTGGTAAAAAATTCCCTGTCAAAAATTAATTAATCATGAAGTGTTAAGTGACTTATCCCTGAACATAGTTATGGTTTTTAATTATATAGGTATTTTTTCCATTCTCAAATTCTTGGAAAGTAATTGATTATTACTTTTTTCCCGTACTTACATTAAGGGTCGGTTGGCGGTTGGTCGCTTTTTCCCATCCGTATTTTTATTTAATTTTTTACTAAGCGACACTAACTTCGGCAATCGTTACCAAAGCAGAGATTTATTTACATTAGGTAAATAAGGATCAAAACATCTTAATAAACACATACAAATCATACCAGTAAGATAAACAGTACAATTTAAATGAATTTTTTTTTCAAAATTTCAAACTTTAATCGACTCTCCTGTAAAGTTGCCTATATGTCGCTTAGTAATTTTTTCCTTTCCACCGTCGATATATATATATATACAGGAATTGCTCATTTAAAGGTTAACCTTACCTTGAGATTTTTCATACGGGAAATTATTAGTTTTATGGACCTTCGAGAAATATGTCTACTTTTTTCTAAAAGACCGGCAAGCAAAGAGCCAACCATTATTAACACGTTCGTTGCGACTGATTTTTTTTTAATTATCAGGAGAACGTCAATATGAGCAACGAGTTGAAGACATCCGTCTACTTCGTCTGGAGATCATACGACTGCGCAAGGAGAAGAACTTGCTGTCAAAGGGCATAGAGAATATGACAGATTTAAGACTAGAGGTTGGTTCCATTCATAATTAAGCTTTTTATATTCACTTATAAATTAGATGATTTTTTAAAGGATAAGAATTCGTAGGCATAACGAGACCTTAGGCTTTCTATTTATTTATGTATAATAATATATTTTATAAGGTAAAATGTTTGTGGCACGTGGTAGCGTAAGTGAACCCACTACTCCGTATCATCCCGTAGCTTTCGTAAAAGGCGACAGACGACAGACGGAAAATAAAATAAGAAATGGGCAGCAGCATCGCAAAATAATAAAAAACCTGTTGCCAACCCGCCCGTCAAGTGTGGCAGCCATGGCAAATGAGGCAACCTGTGCACAAGGCTCATCATCAGCTGTGGACTCTTGATAAGCTTTAATGAATGAAAACATGAGTCGATATTTTACTTTGGTGGATAAACTTTCGTCTCAGGCATCCCTTGCCGACTCCAACACTCACATCTGTAGCATAAATTTACTTTGTCACTCTTTTCTCATTCATTCTATCTATTATACGCGTACCCATACGTACCCACGTACGTATCTATTATACGTATCCAAACCACTAAAGCAATCGTCTCGCAAAATAAATATGACTAAAATTAAAAACACAGACTTTTTTCTGTAATTCTACATCTGCATCGAAATTTTATCACTCCAAAGGTAAGGTAAGGTAATTAGTAAGTCAATTCCTAGGGAATGGAATAAATAAATAATCGACAAATAAATATATTATTCCAATAAAATGATGTAAGGATAAAACAGCTTCATATCTTAAGAAATGCATCCACATACCTGTTCGTGATGAAACGTGCCGCACTAATATGTGAGGCTATGTTGATCAACAAGTGGCGATATATCTATTCGAAAATACAAAACGAAAACCCTTAGTCTGGTGATGAGCAGTACATTTACCAATTACCGTTGGGCTGTAGGATTGGTTAGCAATGATGAATTTGTATTATTATGTGATATTGTGTCTTTTTTTAATAGGATAGGGTGACAAACGAGCACACAGTCCACCTGATGGTAAGTGGTTGCTGCGGCCCATAGACATCTACATCTATCCTCGATTACAAATCAAAATGCAGATGCGTTGTCACCCGTGAGGACTAAGATGGAATGCCTCGTTTCCAGTAAAAAGGGTCTCCGGTTCTCTACACTCACCATACGAAACACAGCAGATTAAGCTACTATTTTACGCTGGTATTGTGTGAGAGCGTGGTCCTTCCCCGGTCGTTCCCCATTCGTGCTACAACTATACTACTAATATAACTGCAGCATGGCTCTACCACGTATTAAGATAGTCTTCTTGTAAATAATAACAAAATATTGTATGATATTTTGATATAATCATGTAAAATATTTTTGTGTTTGTAATTATTTAAAATAATATAAAACTATATTCATCAGTGACTAAAGGCTTTAATTCTTCTGACTAATCTACTGAGAGTAGGCCTTCTCTCACTTCAAAGGCGGCTTGAAGTACTGAAGTTCTCTACGCTGCTCTAATGCATGTTGTTGAACTGAACATGGCTCCGAAGTAGTTTTTTGTTGATATGCGATTTCCTCTTTCATTCGTTACTGCGTACGATGTATATCGGCAATAAAAACAGCAAATAACAATTTCATTAGTGTCGGCCGGGATTGGATATGTTTGCTCACACACTATATTAGCGGCAAGCATTATTTATTCCCTGCACTAGGGATAAAAGTATAGAATTTATACCAAAATATTGTGTTACAGGTGTTTAACCTAGAACGCGAGCTGGGACGATCTAGACTGCGCGTCCGAGCCCTGGAAGAAGCTTTGGAGACGCCGCTTAACGTACACCGCTGGAGGAAGCTGCAAGGTACCGATCCCGAGACCGTGAGACTCACGCACAAGCTCACGCTCACGCAAAAGTAAGTACACGGCTTAATTTATACTCGTGATCTCATTAACTGAAACTCCATATTTAATAATTTAAATATATAAATATCATAGTCAGGTGCAAAGATGAATTCCAACAATTAAAGCCCAGTTTCGATTTTAGCAGTAATTTCAATAATATTTCAAATTGTTATTTACAATCGTTTAAATTGGTATCGGTCGCCTTCGCTCGGCCAACATGTATAGCCAGGTTTAAAAAGGACTTCCGCAATCTCCAAATGCATACGGTGAGACTTACGCAACTTTAATACTGCTCGTATTGAAGAAGCGATCAAGCGAAACCAAAGCTCTAAAGTCTTTGCGAGAGATCGGTCTGCCAGAAAGAGCCAACTGTCAAAGCTGAAGACCGAGTGTGGCAGCATTGTTTCGGGACACCTGAGGTTTTGAGTGAAATTGAGAGGTTCTATGGGCAGCTGTACACATTATCGTTGGAGCCACACGCAAGTGTGAGTAACGATCCAAGAGCAAGCTTATCTGGCACTATTCCGATGATATCCCGGACGTAAGTCTGCACGAGATTAGAATGGCTTTACAGCACCTTAAAAACGGCAAGGCCCCAGGCGAGGATGGAATTACAACGGAGCTTCTGAAACCGGGTGGAAAACCGGTACTTGAAGTCTTTCAGAAGCTCCGCCGGATAGCATTAAAAGAGTCAACCCGGGTTTTCACGTACATTTCAGAGGCACTACAATAGCGATTAAATCCCATTAGAAGTCTAAAATTATTATTATAAGTCACCCGTATACTATCATGTGTTTTCTTGGTATAGTCTACTCAGAGTTGACACTTGTAAAATGATTGGCAGAAAGATCTAAACAGTGTAATTTTCACGTCCGGCGACGTCTTGCAGGATTTTCGCGTAATTATATTGCCTACTACACACAGAGATCTACGTTGACGTTCCACATCCGTGTCATCTTTTAAGTCTGAAGTAACAATATGGCCAAAATACTTGAACTTGTCTACTATCTTAATAAATTTTCCATTAAGACAAATCTCGGGCACGCTCTGAGGTAACTTCCCTGATCTGAAAATCATTATTTCTGTCTTTTTGGAGTTGTAAGTCAAATTATGTCCTTCCGCGTATCTTTCACAGATTTCAATTAATTTTTTCAAGCCTTTAATCGAGGGACTGAGCAGCACCATATCGTCAGCATAGCTCAGGCTATTAACAAATCTGTCGTCCAGTCTGAGCCCTACCGGGGATCTGCTCAGCTCCACGATTAAATCATTCATATAAGTATTGAAAAGATCAGGTGAGGTAACAGCTCCCTGTCTCACGCCACAAGAAAGCTTATAGCAATCCGATATTTCACCACCCCACCTAACTTTGTTGGTTTGATTACCGTACCAGAACGCTAGGAGATCAACAACCTCAGCCGGGACACCTTTGCTAGTGTCACGGAGCTTTTTCCACAGTATTTCATGACTGATTATATCAAAGGCACGACTTAAATCAAGAAAACAAGCGTATACAGTAGTATTCCGCTGTTTATAATAACTTATAACTTGCTTTAGAGAAAATATAGCCATATCTGTTGATACATTCGGACGAAAAGCAAACTGGCCATCGTCGTAATTTATGGAATTTAAGTATAACTGTAATACTCGTTCAAATACCTTGGCCACTATAGTGGCCAAAGAAATAGGTCTATAGTTTACCGAGCTCGTGATATCTCCGGTTTTATTTTTCATAATAGTGTTACGAGCTTGAGGTTCGTGACAATAAAAATTGCCGATAAAATTACCTAAATTAACACTTTAATTTACTTTACACAAATTAAAACTTAAAACACTAATAATTAAACACACTAATTCACTTTATTCCGCTCCGAAGCTTCGCTTGTCTCGCCAAATCCAATACTGCCTCGATCGCATCTTACAGCGCCTATTTATATAAATTAGCAGCGAAATATCCAGAATATTCAAGTAAACACGCGCAAGGTACCGAGAGTTCGTGTTTCAATTTCAAGAAGTTTAGTTCTTCAGTTCGAGACTAGATGGCGCTAGTGTCGTCGACTTGAGCGCGTAACACTGCCCCCTCCTAAGACATGCTCGTCCCGAGCATTATCGGCCCCATAATAACGCGCCAGGCGATCCACATGGACGATCTTAGGAGTCCCCTTTGCGCCTTTCTGTAACGGCTCCGCAATGTCAAGGGATGTCCTATCCCGTGGTGCACCAACATTGTACAATTTCGATGCTCCTCTACTCCGTGTCTGAGGTCCCCTCACAGCCGCACAACTTGTACATGTACGACACCAATCCTCGACATCGTCACGATAATGGACCCAGTAAAACTGTTCTCGAACCTTCAGTAAAGTTCGTTTAACTCCCAGATGGACTCTTGAACGACCATTATGGCACAGCTGTAGAACATTCGGCACTTTGGCTTTAGGGACAACCATTTGGAAACGACAGCTGTCTCCTCGACCATTGTCCCATTTACGGCACAGGACTCCATCCTGAAGCAGCAAGCTGCCCCATTGGGCCCAAAAGCTTTTCGTGGTTGAACTCATCGCTGAGACGTCCCTCCACTTAGGCTTGGTAGCACGGGCCTTCATCCATCCCAGAATCGGCTTGATGTCCGGATCTTCCTGCTGTGCATGTCGTAGGCTGTCCTTCCACCCATTGCTGAGGTGGTCTGTCCTAAGCATCCTCACGGATACCACTTCCTTACCTTGCCTACTACAATGGTTGCAATTTTCAAGACAAGGTCTTCTTGACAATGCATCTGCGTTGCCGTGAGATTTCACGCTGCAGTGTCTGATAGTAAAGTCGTATTCCTGCTGCTGCTGGGCGGTGCTGTTAGCCGCACTTCCTTTCTGAGACCGTTCACCTTCCCTTCCTAGGGTGTACTTAGGGCAGCTGGACCGAAGATGGCCCCTTTCCCCACAGCCATAGCACCTAGGGCTGTATCCTTTATTGTGGTCGCGAACCGTAACTGTTGCAACCTCCCTAGCGTGAGGTGAACGATGATCCTGTCGCCGCCAGGCAGTGCCGTTAGCTGCACTACCCTCCTGATATCGTTCACTTTCCCTTTCTGCGGTTCGCTTAGGGCAGCTGGATCGAAGATGGCCCCTTTCCCCACAGCCATAGCACCTTGGGCTGTATCCTTTGTTGCGGTCGCGAACTGTAGCTGCTGCAACCTCCCTGACGCGATGGGAACGATGATCCTGCCGCACGGCCTCCACTTCCAGTGCATGGGCCAAGGCGCCCTCAAGCGTCTGGTGGTGCCCGAGCCTCACAGCAGCCCTGACTTCCAGGTCGCGGATGCCGTCGAATGAATGTCTGCACCAGGTTCCCTTCAATGAGCGCAGGTACAGACCGGTATGCTTTTCGCACCAGCTTCTCCACTTCTAGAGCCCACTGCTGCAGGTTTTCGTTGATGCGCTGCACACGATCTTTAAGCTGCGCACGAAAGACGTGTTCCAGGTGAGCGTCGCCATATCTCGCCTCCAATGCCTCAAGGAGTTGCTCATAAGTCACTTCCTCACCGAGAGCTTCCAGAACTGTTAAGGCCTGGTCACGCAGGCCTAGTGTGAGAGCAGTCATGGCCTGATTTTTATTCCAGCCGTTCGCCTTCATAACAGCTTCGAACTGGATTTTGTAGGCTGACCAGGAAGAAGTCCCGTCGAATGGTGGCACCTTGAACCCACGTAGCGAAGGTGTAGTAGCTACTACGGGAGCTGTAGTTCCCTCCCCAAGTTTGAGTTCGTCAACTGATTTCCTCATGTCAGCCATTACGTTGTCAACCCGATTGTTCACTTGGTCAATTCGGGTTTCAGCTTCCGACAGGCGGTTTTCATGTTGAGCAACCTTATCCTTATCCGTAGCGTGAAGGTCCTTCATGAGAAGCATCTGTTCCTCCTGTCGGCGAGCCTGTTCTGCCTGTCCGCCCCGCAGCTGCTCTTCCAACCGACGGACCTGTTCCTCCTGTCGGCGAGCCTGTTCCACCTGCTGATCTACTAACCGACGCGCCTGTTCATCCTGTCCGCTCTGCAGCTGCTCTTTCAACTGACGGACCTGTTCCTCCTGTCGGCGAGCCTGTTGTTCCTGCTGCTCTTTCAACAGACGGGCCTGTTCCTCTCGTCCGCGCTGCAGTTGCTCCTGTAGCATCGCCATCAGAGCACCTAAGTCAGGTGCTGCAGGTGTAGGAGCTACTGACGGGCCCGCAGCCTCCGTGGCTGGCCGTTGGCCCTCCGACGTCTGCGGCGTTGCACCACCAAATCTCCTCTGGTCCGTCTCCTGCTGGCGTTGACTTCGGGTACGGACACCCTCCGATTCCTCCTTTGGTAAAATCGGCATGATTTTATCCCACTTCTGACACCAATTGTTACGAGCTTGAGGTTCGTGACAATAAAAATTGCCGATAAAATTACCTAAATTAACACTTTAATTTACTTTACACAAATTAAAACTTAAAACACTAATAATTAAACACACTAATTCACTTTATTCCGCTCCGAAGCTTCGCTTGTCTCGCCAAATCCAATACTGCCTCGATCGCATCTTGCAGCGCCTATTTATATAAATTAGCAGCGAAATATCGAGAATATTCAAGTAAACACGCGCAAGGTACCGAGAGTTCGTGTTTCAATTTCAACACCTCACAGATATGGTGGCCCGCATATAACAGATGCTCTATGCTAAGACCGTCATGACCCGGAGACTTACCCCGCTTCATGTTAGTCAAAAGTGACTCTAACTCTTTCGGCGTAATTGTTACATGGTGAGTTTCAGATCCCTGACATGTCCTAGCCTTACAATTTTAATTATATTTATTTTGTACAAGATTAAACTGATTTCTAAATATAGCTTGGTATATTTTTTTTACTTTTATCTCCATCTACACTTAACGGCAAATATTTTTTATGTTCTAACTTTTTTATTTCTCTCCAAAATTCATTAAAGTTACCAGCATTTCGATGTCGGGCCAACACTTCCATTTTTATTTTGTCCTGATTATTTTGAACGTACTTACGCGCGGCCTTAAACTCTCTACGCGAGGCAGCCATATTTTCGTAAAAATAGCCCGAAGATGGCCTACCATATTCATTCCACATTAAAAAACTTTCTCTGGCCTTGACATGGGTATGCCTGACGTGAAAATTCGACCCCACAATCCTTTGCCCTTTTCTTATATCATTCATATAAAAGCTACGCTCAGCTGCTACTTACAACACACTTACAATGTCACAATATAAATCGTCAATATATTTACAATGACACGATTTTTCACACGAATGTTTCACATGCATACATTCCATGTTTACATTTTTATAATTACTCATTATATCATAAAGTTTTTCATCACAGATTTAGACTATGAGAAAGCCTTGATGCTGTTGAAATTTTGGCGATGCTACAGTCCCTCCAGCGGTGCCAAGTTGATTGTTGTTATATCTAAGTGCTGAAGTGTTTGTACAGTAGGACTACGATGGCTATCCGAATACAGAACCAGTGTACAAAACTTATCCAACTGCAGAGGGGTGTAAGACAGGTTGACGTTATATCCCCGAAACTCTTCACCGCTGCATTGACGTTTTCAAGCTACTGAACTGGAAAGGATACGGCATTAACATCAATGGCGAATACATCACTCGCCTTTAATTTGCCGGCGATATAGTTCTTATGGTAGAATCGCTGGCGGACTTAAGCACTATGCTTAATGACTTCAATAGTGTCTCCCAACGCATAGGTCTTAAGGTGAACAAACCAAAGGTCATATGTAATGTACATGTCACACCTATGCCGGTATTTTTGGGAGCACTAAGCTCGAAGTTGTTGAAAAGTACGTTTAACTGGATATATAGTCCAACTAAGTAAGTCCAACTTCAACCGAAAGGTCAATTGATGGATTCAATTCGGCTGAGCGGCGTTTGGGAAATTACGACACATCTTCTCCTCAGGTATACCTCAAAACCTGAGTTTATTCAACCAATGCGTGTTGCCGTGCACACTGCTTCTCGTATGAGGACGCTCAAAGTCGCTCAGCTAGCTATGGAGAGGGCTATGCTCGGGGATTCTCTGAGTGATAAACTCAGAAATGAGGATATCCGCTGTCTAACCAGAGTAACCGAACCGACATAGCCTAACGGATTAGTAAGCTTAAGTGGCAATGGGCCGGCCATATAGCTCGAAGAACCGATAACCGATGGGGAAAAAAGGTTCTCGAGTGGCAGCCTCGTACCGGTATGCGAATTGAGCGACCCTTCACTAGATGGAGTGACGATCCGGTAAGACGTGCAGGAAGTCGATGGATGCAGGTGGCTCAAGACCGTGCTTTGTGGCAGTCCTTGGGGGAGTCTTATGTTCAGCAGTGGACTGTAGAGCTGTAATAATGATGATGATGACCTATTCGGTGCATCACACAGTATGTAAGTTGGCGGTTCTGCGCCTGATCTGTTCTCGGTCGTGTCGGATTGTCGTCCCATCGGATTATGAGAATGAGAAGATAGAGAGTACACCTGTGCTTGCGCACATGTGGCGCGTACAATCGTGCACTATAGTCTTGTCCGCTGAAGCTGACCGCCGTGACCGAAATTTTGTCTGGAGTACATTAGGTATTACATATACGTAGGTACCCTTTTGTGTCATCAATCCGCTAAGACAGCACTGCGCAAAAGTATATTATACTGCATGGCTCCAGTCATATACGATAAAATACTTAAAAGTTGGAAAGAATTGCCGCTATCGATACTTAAAAAAAAGCTTCGAAGCTTCTTGACAGTCAAAGCATACTATAGCGTAACAGAATTCTTGACTGAATATTTTTTTTTATTTTAAGATTAAGACTGTATAATGAAAAAAATCTGAATTATGTTCGTTTTTATGTTATTATTTTATTTTGTTATAGCTGTTTAGGTGATTAGTTTATATTAATGTATATTTTGCATGCGTACTGGTAAAATATGGCTAAACTCACTATGTATATTACCATGTATTGGTACTGTACCCATATTTGCAAAATAAAATATCTTTTATCTTTTATCTACCAGATGGTCCTCATTCTAGTGAGGGACCGCCTTACACTTCAGAGCCTTTCTTCCACATGAATTATTTTTATTACCTATTGCCACTTCAGCTTACTGATCCGTTTGGTGGTTATCACGCATGGACACTCCGAGAAAGGCCCTTCCCATAGCTCGCTTACCGGCCTTGAACTTAATACGGCCATACTGCCAACACATGCTCGTTTTGTTTATTAGGTAAATCCAACTACGATAGAGAGGTCAAACAAATCCAATTGCGCTAGGAGAAATTCAGGAGATTATGACATGACTTACCTTCTCTTAAGTAAACTACGAAACTTGAAAACAAGTGTAGAACTAGATAACCTTAATTAAAATATAATTTATAGAAAAGTACTAGCCCAGAGCGAAATGCTGGTGCTTAAGGACCGCGAGCTCACAGAGACGAAAAATCTTTACGGTGCGGTTAAAGACATGCTCGCGTTACAGCCAAGTCCTGAGATACAGGTAAGTGGAGAAACTATTTCCATGATGTAAGAGCTTCTAAGTTAGGAATGCCAGATAGGAAGACCAAAATATCAGGACAAATTTTGAAAATAACAGGATTTGGTGGTCGTTGTCGGGGAATGAAAAAAAAATGGTAGAGCCATGCTGCAGTTATATTAGAAGTATAGTAGTAGCACGAATGTGTAGGCTCGACCGGGGAGGGACCACGCTCTCACAGAACACCAGCGTGAAATAGTAGCTTAATGCTACTGTATTTCGTATGGTGAGTGTAGAGAACCGGAGACCCTTTTTACTGGAAACGAGGCATTCCATCTTAGTCCTCACGGGTGACAACGCATCTGCATTTTAATTCGTAATTGAGGATTGATGTAGATGACTATGGGCCACAGAAACCACTTACTATCAGGTGGACTGTGTGCTCGTTTGTCACCTTATCTTATAAAAAAAAGAAACAATTATTAAAAAAATTTAAAATAAAGTTTATTTTTAAATCAACAGGCCACATAAAGACTTAACATTGTTGACACATGTATTTGGCATTGGCATAACTTTGATTTCTGACTGCGTGACACTGACAAAATTCTATGAAGTCATAATTTAAAAGAAGTAGAAGAAATGTCATTTCATCACGTCTTATTGTTTAGTTAGTTCTTGGTCTACATTACTTGATCCAGTATAGCAGTGGCGAAGGCTCCATAGAAGCCGGAAAATCAGGCTTACCCTTTCAAACTGCTCAATCAATAATATCAACTAATAAAATAACTCGTAAACTGTTTCAAACTATTTAAAATTTCCCGCGCGCTCCTCTGTTCTACACAAGTCATGACCTCGTAGCCTTCTTATGTAACGTCAACACTTGGCAGTTTGCTTTCAATTCGAAATACATTGATTCGTGTTCTCTCTGTCTCAAAGTGAACACGCAATGGACTGTCAAAATTAATGAAAGCAAGGAGTTGATTTGAGCGATTAGTCACCTCTCTCGTACGCGTGGGCTTTTTACCGGGCTTTCGAGAAGACGATCGCTCCCTTTCTAACCTGTGGCAAAATGTTCCATAATGAAATATAACTACGAAATGTTTATATAGCAATTACTATGGAACCAAAAGCCGGGCTTTGGTATGAAGTTGTTTCCGAGTGTGGGGGCTCGCGGGCGATACATTTGCAAGTTTACTTCACATTTCAATGCTTACCTACTCCGTTTGTTTTTGTTGTGTCTGTTGAAAATTTATGCTTTTCGAAGATTTTTAGTAAGATAATAGGGTTCCTCGTGATGAATTGAAGTGTGTTAAAGTGCCAATCGGCGAGGAAAAGGTAAAATCTTTAAACTTTGTTGCGAAAATACCACAAGGTCAAGAGCATCTTTTGGACTTGAAAAACAGTTATTGGTACAATTAAAACGTTCACCAACATTTTACGCGGACGTAATTAAATCTTTCTTTAAGAAAGAGTGACTATTTGATTTAGAATATAAATATTTATTTTTTTATTTTTGTATATAGTTTGTTCGTATTTTGTTCGTGTATAGTATTGTATGTTAATATCTTTTTCTTTCGCACAAGCAAACCCAAACGACTTTTTTCAAAGCCACCGAAGGTATACAATTGCTGATATGTCATACAATATATCTAGCAGTAGTATGCCTTCTGTGTGCTTTGTTAAACACGTCTTTGACAGCACTGAATATGAAACTGAAGAGTGGAGACAGATCAAGATTGGTGTATTTTTTATAAAACTGCTAAAAACAACAAAACCATATCTTGAGCTTGTCTTAGTTTGGAGCCCTAGCTTCGCCTCTGCAGTATAGCTATCATGAAGCCGCTGGCGCGCCGAAATTCAACATTCAATATTTAAGTAATTGAATTTTGAGATTTTTTTTAAAAAGAGCTAATTAGGCATACACACTGAAACCGATCAATAAATCGAGTAATATTTTATTCCCAATAATGTAAAATAAGTAACAAATTATACAATTACTAAATTAGCGGTTGAAATAATTACCATTTTATAGGGACTTCAGTGGATTTCAACAGGCTGACGAACATTATATTACGATACAATTAGTAATAATGTTTAAACGGTATGTCCATACCACCGACATCGGTACTCCACGCCGCTTACACTCCCGCGTTAAGACGACCTTATGCACAGGTGTTATGACAACCATTGAAAGTAATATGAAAATTGCAATTTCAGCAAACTTTAATTCGAACACAGCGCGCACTGGCGCAAAGAACCACCAAAATGAAATGCTTGGTTGCTGGTAAGTTCAATTCACTCTATACACAACACTTCTTCTGCTGTCAAATAGTCAGAGGTCTCATCAGTTTTATAAAAAAATGTAAAAACATAAAATAACATAACATAAACACTCACGCCTGTCACCCAGAGGGGTAGGCAGAGGACTACAGACTTCCATTTGGCACGATCCTGACACACCTCTCTCGCCTCCTTCACATCCATACACCTACGCATATATGCTCGTCGATTAAGGGTACTCCTAATTTGGACCGTTTTCAATAAATCGCCAATTTGGTCGATAAATTTTTGCCTAGGACGTCCCTTTCCGACTCTGCCATTCACTTCTGCAACATAAATTTTCTTTGTCACTCTTTCCTCATTCATTCTTTCCACATGACCAAACCACCGAAGCATTCCTTTCTTAATCCTGGTCACAACATCATCTTGCAAACCACACTCTTCTCTTATTACACAATTTCTTACCCTGTCGTTCAGATTCAGCCCTAACATACTCCTTAAAGACCGCATTTCTACTGCGTTAATTCTACTCTCGTGCTTCTTCTGCCACACCCAACTTTCACTACCATACGTTAAAGTAGGGACCAACACAGCATTGTGAATTGCCATACGTGCCTTTTTTGACACATTTTGACTCTTCACAATAGAGTGCAGGGCCCCATTTACTCTATTTCCCGGAAATAGGGAAATAAAAAAATGTATTATACCAATTGTACAATAATGCTAAGTGCAAAAAGTTTACTGGATTTTTTTATTGCCTAACCTATACAATAAAAAATACATAAATAAAATTGAAGTGTATGTCAGTAATAACGAAATAGCGGGCTTATATCGAGCTCAGGTGTTTGCAGGTTATTTGCTTGTAAAAAATGTTTGTCTGTCTGTCTATCCGGGCTAACCTTTGTTATGGCTGAACCAATTGGCATGAAACTTCACGAACATACGGCTATACACATATGCTATATTTTGTCCAAAACATGGAGCGTATTTTTTAAATGAAATTATAAAATATTTAAAATTAATTAATATCTATTTAATAAAATGTCTTTGATGATTGCTTTTAAAAAATAAATATTTTTTAAAAGCAATCATCAATTTATATAATAAATGGTGGCACAACAGTTCCCACACAGGCAAAGCCGTGGTAGTTTTAAATATTAAACTTACATCATTAACTTTAATAAGCCACTTCACTCTATGGCCTTATTATACATACGTATACTTTTACAAGAGCTCGCTTTCGACGCCGGAGTTGAGATTATGAAACATATTTTTGTGCATGTGAGAATTCCCAGGATGCTTTTTGTGACCTTTCCAAGGCCTTCGACTGTATTCATCATGAGACATAAATCAGGAAGCTACAGTACGATGGTGTATAGAACACGACGCTTAAGCTTATTATTGCATATTTAAGTAATAGAACGTAGAAAGTTATTATCAATGGTAAAAGTTGTGGGGTGTCTCTCAAGGGTCAATTCTCGGCCCATTTCTATTTCTAGTCTATATAATGACTTACCTTCCCTTGTAAGGGATAATCATGACATAGTATTATTTGCTGATGATACTTCCTTAATTTCTAAAATTAAACATCAATGAACAACGAAGTGACTAATGCTGTATCAAAGTTAGTGTATTGGTTAAATTAAATGTATTAAATTTACAACACCGATTTTTATATGGAGAAGAACTGAACCCTGTTGAGTCTACTGTTTTTTTGGCATTACTCTCGACACAAAGCTTCAATGAAGCCCCCATATATCTAAACTAGCAAGAAGACAGCTCTGCAGTTTTTGCTGTAAAAATATTAGGGGTCTCACTAGAGTCGAAACAGATATATTCGTTTATTTCAGTTATTTCCATAGCATGTCTTATGGGATTTTGTTATGGGGAAATGCGGCTGATTTAGAGGAAATATTTTTGTGTTGCAGAAGAGGGCCTTAAGAGCTATTTACAACCTAAAACCGAGTGTGTCGCAGAAAATTTTAAAGAAATAAATACATTAACTTTGGCGTCTTAGTATATTTACGAAAATTTAATTTATATTCATTAAAACAAAGTAGTTTTACTAAAAGCAGTGATATACACTCTGTAATTACTAGGAACAAACACAAGCTGGTCATACCAGTTCCTCAACTCCACAAAGTCAGTAATTCATTCTTGGGGCAATGTATACGCTATTACAAACAGTCCCAAAAAATATACAATGTCACTCTATTACCAAGTTCAAATATTTTATTAAACAATAACTGTTTAAAAAGGGTTATTATAATATAAATAAATACATGGTTAATAATAATCCCTGAGAATGAGATGAGGTGGTAGCTCCAAGCTGTTTCTAAAATAAATTTTGTAAACAGTTTGTACAACCTTTCATATTGTAAAATTTACTTTAAAAAAGTCTTGTTAAGTTTTTTGTTGATTTTGCCCAGGACGGAGGTTTGAAGGGGTAAAGAAAGAAAAAACGACTTTCAATAAGAATTTCATGTAATCTATATTGAATAAAGAAAATTATTCTATTTTTTATTCTATAACCTCAACATATCATATTTGGTCCTTTTCCCCATAACTAACTACTAACATAACATAACATTGATGTGACCTGTTATTGATACCATACCGTAGGTACCATAGCTAATTAAAATAAAAAAATATACCTACGGAATACTCGCAGGGGCAAAGTTACCCTTAAGTCTGTCTATTAAAAATATAGAATTCTTAATTTCAGAGCTAGGAATGCGCGAACGTCAGGTATCTGACCTTCGACGAGAGTTGGATCGAGCGAATGGAGATTTGAACTCATTTAAACAGCGCTACTACGAGATGAAGCGGGCTCTGGACGCTGATGAGGCGCGCAGACTCCGCGTCGCAACACCGCTCCCACCAACCACCCCCCACGCTCAAGAAACACCCAGCTAACATTAACCTTTACAATTAACCATCTTTCATACTTTAATGCTTGGGCGACACATGCGTTACTCGTCACAATGATATGACGCCTAAGAAGTTTACACGCTGCTTTTGCTAAGAACAAATATTTCCTCTTTGCAATGTATTGCCTTATAATCTCAAGGCGGTGTGGCTGCGTACAGTAAAATGTTTTATTCATACATGGGATTTCTTTTATGGTTTCATTCCCGTGCAAAGTAGTATCACAGTTTAAAGACCTTACCGTCGGAAACTGAATGTACCTGCGCAGAGCAACGGTGGGGGCACTGCGGTGCAGAGGGCTGGCCGATCTTGTGCTAGTGCACTTCACTGAGTCTGATTAAGTGCAGTTTTCGAAAAATATTGATTAATTACTGTTATAGTTTTACGAGTTACTAAGTAAAATTGAATTCAGATGACAGCCATGCTTGTTTCCCTTTTTTTTTTTTGATAAAATTATTTGTCCGAATGTGAATAATTAAAACTAACAATAAAGAATTGAAATTAGCAATTGATTATGTTTTCAGTAAAAAGAAACACTTGTAAATGTGGTTTTTCCTGTAGTAATAAAAATGATCTTGTTTGATAAATTTTTCTAACTTATAAGTATGTACATAATGTTAAGAAATGATAATGAGTATTATACATAATATCCAAAATTATTTTATTTCCATTTTCGTGACAATCCCTAGCAGTCACGCTGGTCGCGTCAATACATGCGTGAGCGGAGGCATCGCATGACATCAAAGGCGTATCACAACTGTAAGGTCTAAACTGCGGTAGTATTATCAAGTCATAGAAAATGTCGAATCCAGTTGAAATGAAATACACAGTAAAATCCTTTAGTTTTGACATATTAATAACTGAGACGGAACCGTAAAAAAAGTTTCGTGACGATAGACGCAGATGTGGACCCAGCATTATACATACACTTATAAATACCAATAATAAAGCCATGCACACACACACACACACACACACTCAAGTAATCATCTGTATATGTCGCAGTAAGATGGTTAAAGTCGTGATGTAGTTATATCCCTAGAGATGTAGCTATATACCGTAATATAGTTATATGACAGCGGTTCCTAACTATCTTACTAGACTAATCTAGTGAAATAATTATGATTGTAAACTGAATGTACAGCACACCCCTGTAGAAAATGTTCATGTTATTTGTGGAGTATCATCATGTGGTGAAGGTTACCGATCGCAACTGTTGTGCAACTAATGTAACAACGAAAAAAACATTCAGGGCTGAAGAGATAAATCGGTAGACAACTTAAAAATGACGGCTCAAAATTAAATAAAGAGGCCTCCCACTAATTTCGCGACATTGACATTAGATATTCGGTTCCCGTTGTTGTGTTGTTCATGTTAATTCTTTGACAATAGGTTGGCCTTTGGGCCACTCTAAAGCCTCGTACATTACAATGATATAAATGAAAGAATTGAACTTTTTAATTTTAAAAATTCAAAAAGGAAAAGTCAAAATTAGTATTGACTAACATTTTTGGTCAACATATAATTATTCCCCTAAATTAGTCCAGTAAGATAGTTACATTACTAGATCATGAAAGTGTCATCGTTATATTCCAGTATATAGCTATGTCCCTAGGTATATAACTATATCACGGCTTCCACCATCTTACTGCGACATATTATATACATTTCCATGTTTCTGCTTTTAGTATACAGTAATCCACTCATTGTTTCCCTGTTTAGCGATATAAAATTTTAGTTGAAAGTTGAAAAGTAAATTTTCACTTACATATACATGTTATGAAGCATACATATTTCATCCATCGTTTAAACTGAAATATGTTTTTTAATTTTCCTCCAAGCGATAATGGCCCATTTAACATTTTATTTTCTTACGACGTAAAAACGTAGGTGGCCCTTCATGAATAGTCTGAACAGAAACATCTACAATTGTGGATCTAGAACTGTTGCACTTCCAAAATTGCTCACTAGCAAATATATGTTCATGTGGCTATAAAATTTATATGTATCGGAATTATGCCAAGATGTAGCCTGACTATAACAGATACGAAGAGCTGTCTATTCGTTGATTAATTTTTGTATTCTCAGAAGTTAGTTAATTAACATTTCAAAACCAAATTATTATGAAATATGAAGTAAGCACATTCAAGACAAAAGCGAGAGTTTAATAGTTTAGTTATAGTTTTTTAGCTGATATTTATCTATGCAATAATTATATATTTTGTCTGTGATTATTGAATAGTCTGCCCTATAGCGTTTACCTGAAACTTGTTTAATTTATATGAAATTGACAACAGTAACAATAAAAAAAGCAGTAATAAACTAACATTTTCTCAGATGGTTATGGATTTTTATTACTTATATATACATTATCTATTTCTTTATGAACATAACATATTCGCCAAATAAGATTAAAGAAAAAAGCTTGAAAAAAATTAAAATATTCAAGTTTAAAATATTGTTTCTATTTTTTTGGTAAAAAATAGGTATATTGTTGATTTTCTGAATATGTACCGAATTTCTTTTTATTAATGACTGATCACTAGAATTAACTTCTTTTGAGGTATTTTTACGTATTAAATAAAACACACAAATAATTAATCCGAAAACAATAGTTTTATTTAAGAACTTTCACTTTCTCATAAAATATACACATTGTTTTGTCATTAAACTAAACTGTAAGTAAATACTAATTTTAAATACCAATTCTCACATATTTCCAAACAGGTTACCAGGACTTGCCCGCTATTGCATTTCCATTTTAAAAATTTTAACCACTATTGGTGTTTGCTCATGTACAAATCCTTTTACTTAACTCTATTTAGAAAAAAAATGTAATCAAACAAAAGCGTGATTTTGTACATTTCAAAATATAAAATAACATGACCTTCCTGTTTTCATTAATAAAGTGTGATGATAGAATTCTACAGTCCTCTTGTTGATAACTTAAAAATAACAGTTCGATTGCATGCGTTTGGAGTAAGGACCTGGGTTCCGGTGCTCGATAAAAATGCGTTAAAATGCTTTCCTCAACTGGGCCTTTACTAAACTTTTCTAGTTTCCATTCTACATATATATATATATATATGAGGCTCGACCAAGTGATAGACCATTAAATCAAGTTTTATGCTTTACTTATATAACAAAATATGTTTCAGTGCTTTTTTGTAAAACAAGGTATATTTGATATAAAATCTCCATATTAAAATATATATCATAATAATAAAATATGTTTTTCATGCTATTTACATGAAATATTTTAATTTCAATTAAAAACCTTCATTTTTCTAATAGTACCTAAAAATTAACTCGATTAAATTTTTAAACAGTTGAATGTTTAAAAAGATTTTATAAATTTCCCAATTATAATTTTTCACAAAAAACACCTATGACACTATTTTTCTAGTCACACTCTTCAAAACATACATTCATCCAGTTTGCTTGTTTAAGAACAACAAACAATTTCTACTTACAGCACACAATGTCCACAGTCTATTATTGCATGGCAACTACATATGCGCAGCCTTAATGACCTACGAATCTATAAACTTATATAGCAACTTGCTAACATAACGTCAAATGGAATATCAAAATGTCGTTAATCACTCGGCCGAGTCTCATTGGTATTACGAGTATAGCAAGGATTAAATTTTCAGAAATGCATTATCAAATTATACAAATATAAAATGTATGTTTAAGAGAAGAAACTCATAATAAAATGCTTTCTATAATTTCAATGTCCATAAGCAAGGAAATGACAAATGTCCCTAGACAATTTAAACTCCAAAATAATCCTTAGCCATACTCGTAACCAACGCATCTGAACACCGCCAGTCCCTCATTCAACCCATCCACACACAAATCGGTCCGCTATGTCACACGCATATTACATAACAGTTATATTTATAGCTGTCCCAACTTACCAAATACAAACACAAAATCAACTATTCGCTCAACTGTTTTTATACCGCGACGTTTGCACTGTCACATTTTGCAGCAGGTTAAATGAATTATCTCAGTTTCTTCACAAGCCAACAAAAACACACAAGAATTAGTGCACTGTTCCATTCAAGCATTGTTTAGCGTTAACTGTCTACAGGGTCCACTTCGGTAACTAAATTGGCATTGCAAAAATATATAGAAAACTCCTCAGAAATTGCAGCAACTAATATCCTTTTTACTGTGGAATGCCATCTAACCAATTGTTCCTTTCAGTTGAATAAGACACCTTTCTGCTTCAACATCTTGTGTACAGCCATACAAAGCCGTGTCCCAATGCAAACGTCGCCCCCACATGGTTCATATCACTCGTTGGCTTACGACATAGGTACTTAGGACATAGTTGCGATGGAATCAATAAAACTATTGTTTGTTTATATTTATGTCTGTCGCTCGGCGCTCGTACGGTACTGCAACGTAGCGTAATGTCGTCGCCTAGTGGACGTCGGAGCTCTCCTGCTTGGTCATCTGGTGGTTGGCCGGGTCCGAAGTATTGATTGGCTGAAAGTGAAAAAAGAATCGAATTATCGCCTCTGAATAAATATAATATCGTAATCTTATGAAAAATTCGAATTCAACAATCGGAAAATGTACTAATATTATCCGCCGCTTAGTTCATGCAACTTTTAAGTTTTCTTATAAGAAGACTCAGAAGTTTTAACCGTCTTCGTAATGAAGTAACAACCTGTTCAAGTTCGCTGCTGGTGGTGGATGGGTGCGTGTGGCTCAGGACTGCGCTTGGGGGCAATCTGTGAGGGAGCCCGTAGTCCAGCAGTGGACTTGTGATGGGCTGCAACGATGGTGATGAAACTAAGCTTAGAAATTGTCTTATTAACATACATATGAATGTATAATATTTAGATAGTCAACCACAGCTCATGGTATTTAAGTTATTAAATACACATCTCATTGTGGTTAAATTCTAAGTGACTTACATATCTGTCCCAGACTGGTTAATTTAGATTGGTTGATCTAAAGTAATTTATGCTATGCTATGATTATCTGTGTGAGGAGTAGGGATAGATGCCTAGAACTAATTACTATATTAAAAGATGTATTCAAGAAATCAAAGCACTTTATATTTAACTATATGTGCCTGGCCGTGCTTTTTTAACCCACTTCAAAAAAGGGGGGGTACTCAATTCGACTGTATTCTTTTATGTGAACCGATTTTGATGATTTTTTTAAAGCTGATGCTTCCTCATGTGGTCCGATATCATAGAATACTATAATACACAATAGAATGGTTGTCAACCTTATTTTGTACGAGGATCGGCGTCGCCAGGAGCACACATACAAGCAATTACGTCATATTATCACTACTACAAACCCGATTCGCTGTGTTGACGAGCGAGCGAATTTATACATTGTAGACTTTTGATTAATGTTTTTGACACATCAATATTTCTTTATTTTTGTTTTTAATATTCACACAATATAAATAGTTTCGACTTACTGGTTTTAGGATATGTCTCCTTTATTTAAATTCCATTTCCCGCTGTTATTTCGACACACAATTATTGCACAATTTGCCATTTTTTAAATAATTTGCATGCAGCGACACTTGACACGAAAATTGAAAACGATTGTGCTGACATTTATAGGTGTGAACTGACATGATAATGACATGTTAGTGGCTACACGGGCTCCGCCCACTCCTCCGTTCTATTATGTATGTATTATAGTATTCTATATCCGATATAGACTTGATCAAGATCTACGAATATTTTTTGAGTTATCCTTAATAATTAATGCGTATTTAATTGACTTCGGCTACAATGATGATATTCTTTCATTTTATTAATATTGAAGTCAGTAGTTCAAATTTTTTTAATAATAATAAAATAATTAAAAAACAGATGAGTTGTAAGGGATTGCATAGAAGATAATTAACCTAACAAATATTTCAAGCAAAATATTCATTCTTATATTCAGATATAATTATAAAAAGAGGATTGTCCACAGTACCTAATGAAGACTGCTAAATAAACGCGCAGCCGGTTTAGCGTGTATTATGTACTATGTTATGCTCACCACAAGTAAATTTTTCTAATCGCGTAAGTCTTTAGTCACGATTGAGATAGGCGTCAGCGTAAGTGGTAAGGTCTTCAATATTAGAATGGAGACTTCCAATATCGTGTAGTTTTGTGCGTAAATAAGATACACAACATACTTACGAGCAGGATAACAATTATTTAACTGTGGATGGCAGTTGACACAAAAGAAAAACAGAAAAGAAGTGCTCTTCCCACGAGCAAGATGGGGGCTTATTCACATTTTGTTGGGAGTGCAAGTGAGAGAGAGAAGTACTCATGAGTGGGACCTGTGGTTTATGCACTCGAGTGCGCGTGAGTGCTATACTCGTAGGTCAAGGCGGGCAGCTTTTGTATGTACTGGAATGAGTGAGAGTGTAATGAACTCACCATGCGGCTCGTGTGCGAGTAAGTGAATGAGTGTGAGAGGTATACTCACGAGCAAGGCAGGCGACTCGTGTATATGCCAGTGTGAGGGCTGTAGACACGAGTGAGCAGTATAACTCTTGTTCGTACCATTGCCAGTGCGTGTGAGAGAGAGTGTGCGTTATTATCAAGGGCGGTGCTAGTTCTAATGCTTAGTGTAAAGACCGATTTACATTTCGACAAGTACAGTAGCGAGTTTAGTTACAGGGCAGTTGACAGTAAACAGTTAAGTGGGCAGTAGTGTTCAAACAATGTCTTTGTGGCCAGTTAATTAAAGACATTAGTTCATAGAGTTCGTTGGAGTATGACATTTCAAGACTACAGAATTTTTCTGGTTTCCGTTTAAGATGGTTCTAGGATTACGTCAAGAATTAAATGATTCAGTCAGTGAAGTATTAATGGTTGTTGTATAGAAGTTTTTAAGAATTTTCATGAGTGCAGCATCTCGAGCAGGTTTAATTTTACAATTTGAACTTCTACTATTATATAAACATTCGTGTTCTAAATACTCCTGTACAAATTTATACATTTGCCCTGTTTTTTTTCGAAGTTCGAGTTTTTGTTTCTTACACCACTGCTCTACACGTATAAAATCATGCTATCTTCCGTCCATTTTATTATTAAAACTCAATATATAACATATACATATTCAATAAACAGTATCGTACAAGCTTTGTGGCGAGTTTAATTATAAAAGTACAATTGTACGTTTTGGCGCGCAAACGTTACGTCCTGTCAACTTTTGCACTATACTAAACTCGCACGTTTACACGAACGGCGAGTTTAGCTGCGGGTGGCGGGAGACGCGCGGGAGGGCAGCACTTCGCACTTAACTCGCCGAAAAATAACTCGGCCAGCTATCCCGTTCAACTTAATCGTTAACTTGTTACTCAACTCGCTTATTGCCGTTCAAACGAAGTTCAAACGTAACTCGCCAGGTTCGCAAGTTAAGAATGTGTGAGATTAAGGAAGATGAGGGAGACAGAGATGGGATAAGTGAGGGAGTGCACGGACTGCGCGCCGCCGTAGTAGCCACCGTTGACCGTGTCGGTGTGCTGAGTGGGTGCGAGCGAGACGGCGTGCACTCACGAGCGAGATGAGCGACTGCGGCGGCAGCGTGGGCTCGTGCACGGTGGTGGAAGTGCACGGCCTGCTTGCTGCCGTAGTAGCTGCCGTTGACCGCGTCGGTGTGCTGGGTGGGTGGGTATGAGCGAGATGACGTGTACTCACGAGCGAGATGGGCGGCTGAGGCGGCTGCGGCGGCGGCGCGGGCTGCGGCGGCAGCGCGGGCTCGTGCACGGTGGTGGAGTGCGCGGCCTGTGCGCCGCCGTAGTAGCCGCCGTTGACCGCGTCGGTGTACTGCGCGGGTGCGGGCAGCGGCGGCGCGGGCGCACCCAGCACGGGCGCGGCGCCGGCCAGGAAGTAGTCCTTGTTGACGCAGTTGCGCAGGCACTCGGGGATGCGGCCTACGATGGCCCGCCGGATCTCCGACGCCGCCATTTCGCGCAGCTCCTGCGCCGACGCGTCCGAGTAGAACGCCGCGTGCGGCGTGCACAACACGTTCGGCGCCTCCTTCAGCGGACCCTGCACCATCCATAAATATAGTATAGATTTGCGATAGAATGATTAGAGCGAGACCAAAATTAAAATACACCAGTGTACATGTAATGTGCATGTGTGGGTGAAAAATAGTTCTACAACACACATTGCTTGCCGCAACTTCAATTATCGATACCGATTGCAGCATATGAGTATGCTGATTTGATGCAGATGATGTACATAAGTAGATGTTTTTACCCAACTATGGCGAAGCCAAGAGGACGGTTACAATTGTAGAATGTTATGTATATATGTTCATCTACCCAATCAGATATTCTAAGCTCTCATACTCGGCTTTTTAGCTGCATAAAGTAACATACAAGTAAATGGCGGATTATTGCGGACTATATAATAACATATAGAAATACAAAATTAAAAAACTATAATAAAAAAAGACTTAAATTATCATACAGTCCTGTCCTCCCAGTGGTATTGAGCGTAAAGCGCTGGCTGCGTTTCCTCGCTGAGTGACTATACTAATTAAATAAAGATTGAAATATCGTAGTTAGGTATAAAAAAGTGTAGTTCAGAATATTCTCGATATTCCGAATACACATTATAAAAATATTAAGTTATTAGTGAGTTTTTTGTTTAAACTGAAGTGTCCAACGAACCTACATTCACTTGACGATAGGTAAGTGGCTACTGCAACCCATGGAAACTTGCAACTAATTTTCAAACAAAGAACGTTGTTGTCACCTCTATGAACTAAGATAGAATGCCGTTACTAAGTAAGAGACAGAAATAGGATCCTACCTCTTAGCTCATACATGAACTCGACATGAACATGAAAGAAACGCTGTTATGATGTGTGACATTAAATGTTAATAACTAAAACCAAACTGATAAGAAACTTGTACTAAAAAGGTATAAAACAAGGCTAAGATGTCAATTTTTTAAAATCCTCCAAAGAGCACCAATTTATTGTAAAAATGTAAGCTCTCCTTAAAGATAAAAGAGTTTCTGGTTGGCTGTGTTCGAGTTTTCTTTTCTCAATCCACCTTTATGTTATTGTTACATCCTATTAAAGTCCACTGCCGAACACAACCCTACCCCATAGATTGCCTCATTGAGGGATATTTGCCATAGTTGCCAACACACTTGGCATGTGGGTTGGCAACCGCAGATTTTTTTATTTTTAGTCGTTATTAGGAAGACACTGCTATTCATTTCCTGACTTGTTTTCCTCTGTCGCCCGCGGGATGATATGGGGTAGTGGATAATCTTAGACCGCCACAACACAGTGCCCTCTATGAGGAAAACATTTTTTTTCCAAGTACTTGCTGCATATAATCGAATATTTGCTTTTGGAAACCCTTCTCTATTTATTACTTTTAACCATTTTTGTCAAACATCAATATTTTGATGAGTAATTTAGTGAAAATCTGCCACAACATCCACTTACCATCTTGTATAAAAAAAAAACTATAAAAATATTTGTTTTTCATACGATTAGAATATTTAGCTATGGAATACTAAACATTTAAAATTACTATGTTGAATAAGGCTGCATGCAAGGCGTACATTTGCCTATTAAGGACATTTCGACAAGATATTATTGATAATGCCAATCTCTACAAAAGTGCGGTTAAAATTAGCAGATTTTCACGTGATTGCCAGTGCTGGATTAGACAGGGGCCAGATTACTGGGGGTCCACTGTAGTTTATGCAAAACTTAATATTGCAATGTTACAAGATAACTCATGAGTATCTAACCATTTAAAGCAATTTTTTGATAAAAGCTCTCCTAGAGATAGCACTGTGTTTACAATCTACTTCTTATATGTAATTAAACTGATAATTAGCATTTAAAAAAATGTTACAATTGCAATTAGACGCCCTGAAAGATATTTTGCCATTTGAATATATTATATTGAAGCTTGTTGATATAATGACAACAATTTACCTGGAAAACATTGAAAGGTTCGTTTTCGTGTACATCAAGTGCGGCGGCACGGATTCGACCTTGTTTTAATGCAGTAGCCAGGCCTTCGTCGTCCACTAAACCGCCGCGAGCAGTGTTCACCAGGAACGCGCCTGCAAATGAATTACAAGTTAATCATTTTACAATCTTTTACATACATCATGATGTTAACTGCAAAAAAATATTGAATACATTAGCACACTCATTAATAAATTACATCATATAATTTGAATTTACTAGTAGTGCTACTTAGTAGCAGTCTTAAAAGTTGAAAGGCTTGAAGTTAAATTTCTATACAAATGTTTCGCTATATTTCTATAAGAAACGAGTTGTGTTTTTACAATCTGGAAAATATATCTACTAATAGATATAGACAGATTGTGAAATATTGTTTGACTATGAATAAAATTAAAAACCGGTTCCAAATTTAAAGTTCTTCAGCATGGTTCCAGTTTCGGTTTTGATTTAGTTAAATAACACAACTGACAAACATGTGCACAAACATTTGCACGGCCTATAACTTTTTAATAATCACATACAAGATTAAACTGAATGCATTTGTATACATGATATAGTATTGGTTTTAATTAGGGTTAATGGTTTTAGTAGCAATCATGACTGCTTACACAACCAGTATTAGTTCTGATACTAGAACCAGTTTACTTAAAATATTTTTTTATATGTCTTAGATATTGTGGTTATCATAATAATTCTGCCAATGTGTGGTATTTAGTTGTCTTGAGGCTTCTCGATGCAAAGGAGTTGGCATAATAATAATAAGGACATAACAGTCAAGGATATTTTGGTCGACATTACCATTCCGTATGACGAGAACCTCGTGAAAGCCGAAACAGATAAACGAACAAAATATCTGGACCTGGCTCACGAGGTGACTGATATGTGGGGTGGTCTGCCGGCCGAAATTATTCCTGTAGTCGTCTCTGCGAATGGGCTAATCCCAGTCAGCCTCTCGGGTCATCTGAGGCGACTGGGACTCCGTGACGGACCGCTCCGGGTTCAAATGCAAAAGGCGGTGTTCCTCGATACCGCCCGCATCGTCCGCCGGTTTCTTTCCCTTTCCTCCTAACCCTCGGCCGTTTGGTCTCCCCTGCCGAGGGCTTCCATCTGGTTGGGCTTTTATTTATTTATGTATTTTTGTATTTATTTTATTTTAGTGATATTTATGTATATTTATCGTTTCTTTTTAATTTATAATTATATATTTATATAACCCAACCAGATGAGAAAACTATATAGATACCCCAAATAATAATAATAATAGCTTTTATTTCTCTACACTTTTACAGAGTTATCAAAATTATAAATAAATACATAGAACTATTAAAAAGTTCTTCTTGTTTTATGCAGTTCCTCTTGGGTAAAAGCCTCCTCCAATTTGAACCATTCTTCACGGTTTTTGGCAATTTGCATCCATTCTTCTCCTGCTATGTTAATAATGTCATCCACCCATCTTTTCCTTTGCCGACCCACACTTCTCTTGCCAAATGGGCCCTTCCATTTTGTTGTTTGGTAGGTCCCTTTTGTCCTGGTATCTAGCTATGTGTCCTGCCCATCTCCATTTTTGTTTTTGACTATGCTGAAGTGCATCCGTTAATTTCGTTTTCTTTCGAATATCTATGTTTCTCGTTTTTTGTATTCTCCTTAGTTTAAGGATGCTCCTCTCCATAGCATGTTGGCAAGACAAAATTTTGTTTTTCACTCTGTCAGTGTACACCCATGTTTGGCTTGCATATGTTAGACTTGGGAGGATACACGAGTCCATTATGACCTTTTTCATTCTTAGGCTGTAATTTCCTTTGAGAATTTCTTTTTGAGCCCAATATTTTTCCACGCTATATTTATTCTTCTGTCTATTTCTTTTTCAGTATTGTTTAGTTCGAAAGATATCAATTTGCCTAAATATACATAATCATCAACATATTCAATGGATTTTCCTTCTATTTTGATTGGTTTTTTGGAGCTGTTTGTAATTATTTTTGTTTTAGATGCATTCATTTGAAGTCCTGCTTTTTGGCTTTAGGTGTTCAGGCTCTGAAGCATGATTTCTAATTCAATCGCAGATTCACTAAATAGAGCTATGTCATCAGCAAATCGTAAATGTGTTAATCTTCTATTTAGTATCCATATCCCTTTGTTTTTCCATTCTAGGTTTTGAAATATATCTTCAAGGACGGCTATAAATAGTGTGGGTGAAAGAGGGTCACCTTGCCTCACTCCTTTCCCAATTTCAAACTCTTCTCCGTGTCGTTCTAGTTTTATTTTGCTTGTACTCTTAGCATATATGTTCTTTAGCACACTTATGTATTTTTCATTTATTTTGTTTTTTCTCAAAGCCTTCCATATACATGAGTGTGATATGCTGTCAAAAGCCTTAGCATAATCTACAAATGCTATGTATAACGGCATGTTATATTCTTTGTATTTTTCTATTATTTGTTCCATAGCGTGTATATGATCCATTGTTGAGTAGCGTGGTCGGAAGCCTGCTTGCTCTATTGGTTGGTTTCTGTCTATGTCTGGGGCTATTCTACTTAGGATTATCGAAGAGAACAATTTATAGATTGAAGATAGTAAACTAATTGGTCTATAATTGTTGATGTCAAGTGGATTTCCTTTTTTATAGAGCAGTATTATGTTTGAGCCGCACCATTGTTTTGGTATTTGTTCTTGTTGTATGATTAAGTTGAATAGTTTCGTCAGGTAGCTTACTAGAATAGGTGACCCAAGTTTTAGAGCTTCATTTGTGATTTTATCTGGCCCTGGGCTTTTTTCAGACTTTAGTCTTTTTATATGCCTTTCTATTTCCCCTTCAGTTATAGGAGTTAAAGTTGCTTCTTCCAGTTGGGATTCTCTTTTATGTTTACTTTCCAGTTGTTCATCCTTTTGGGTTTCATCTTGAGATGTTCTTCTGTAAAGCTCTGAGTAGAAAGTTGTTGCGCGCTTTACTATGTCTTCTCTGTTTCTTGTTTCCTCTTTTCCATCTTGTAGACCTTGTATCCAAGTTTTACGCGTTGACAGCTCTTTAAGAGCTCTCTTTGAACTTTTATATGTTGCCATATTTCTCTCTATGATTATCCTTCTATGTCTTTCGTAGTCTTGCCTGATTGCTCTGTTTGTTTTCTTATATAGTTCTTTTAATTCGTGTCTCATTTCTTTAGATTTCTCTCTTTTAGATAGGAGATCCGTATGTTTAGAAATCAGTTCTTGTGTTTGTTCGGTAATAATTTTAGGTTTTTTGTTACTAGTTTTAAATGCTTTATCCTGTTCTAGACTATTTGTGATGGTTTTTTCCAGCTCGCTGCTCAGATCTTGTACATTTTCTGTGTTCTTCATTGTTTCTTCTAGTCTTGTTGTATTTTCTTTTAGCTTTTCTAGATAAGTTTCTTTTTCTTTTGAAGTCTTTAGCATATTATGTGGGGCTTTAAATGATTTCCTGTTCATTTTTTGGGGTCCGTAGATTGAGCATCTGACCATTTTATGATCCGATGGGAAGTTTATATTGTTTAAAACCTCAAGATTTGTGATTACTTTGGGGTTGTAACTTAGTATGAAATCGATTTCATTTTTTGTGTTGTTGTCTGGAGAAATCCAGGTCCATTTGCGAGAGTTTCTCTTTTTAAAATATGTATTCATCAATGATAGTTTGTTTTCATATGCGTATTGAATTAATCATTCCCCTCGTAGATTTCGTTGACCATATCCGTACCGTCCCATTATCATATGATCTTCATGTTTCGGGTACCCAATTTTTGCATTTACGAGGGTGGATTAAAAAGTACTCGGCCTAACACAGATCCATTCAATTCTAAAAATCAAATCTACCCACATTATTTAGTTCAGTTCAGACTAGTTCATTGTGTGAAGTTCGAAACGTGTGCGATAATTAGTTGTGATTTTATAAATTTATTAACAAAGTAATCGGACATAATTTCCGCGAATGGAGCTAATCGAGCAGCGTGCTGTCATTAAGTACCTCCATAAGAAGGGGCTATCATCAAAAGCCATCCATGATAACATGGTCAGTACATTAGGCGATTGTGCTCTGTCATATTCATCCGTCAAAAAATGGATAGCAGAATTTAAGCGTGGTAGAGAGAGTGTGAAAGATGAACCCCGCTCTGGAAGGCCTTCGACGTCAACTACTGACGAAAATATTAAAAAAGTACTTGATTTAATAATGGGAGACCGCAGATTAAAAATTAGAGAGATAGCCGAGATTATAGGCATCTCTTATGAACGAACTCAAAACATCATTGTCAACGAGTTGGGTTTCCACAAGCTGTCTGCGAGGTGGGTTCCGCGACTGCTTTCAGTTGAACAAAAAAGGACGCGATTGACTATTTCACGCGACTGTTTGGAGTTATTTGAAGCCGATGCAGATGATTTTTTGAATCGTTTTGTTACTATGGACGAAACATGGGTTCATTACTGTACACCGGAAACAAAACAACAATCAAAACAGTGGAGAAGACCTGGTTCACCACCCCCTAAAAAGGCTAAGTCGATTTTGTCGGCAAATAAGGTGATGGCTTCAGTATTCTGGGACTCGAAAGGTGTGATTATGATTGATTATCTTGAAAGGGGTCAGACTATAAACTCTGATTACTACTGCACCTTACTACGTTGTTTACGAGAGGAAATAAAAGAAAAACGTCGAGGAATGCTCAGAAGAAAAGTCCTGTTTCATCAAGATAACGCCCGTGTTCACACGTCAGTACAGTCAATGGCTGAAATTCACAACTGTGGCTTTGAACTGTTACCGCATCCGCCGTATTCACCTGATCTGGCACCATCAGACTTCTTTCTGTTCCCTAACCTAAAAAAGCACTTGGGAGGTCAAAGATTTTCGACAAACGACGAGGTCAAAGCAGCTGTAGACGCATATTTTGACTCTAAGGAAGAATCATTTTTTTTTCAACGGTCTAAATGCTTGGAAGGGGAGGTGGCAAAAGTGTATTGAACTTGATGGTGATTATGTAGAAAAATAAAAATATAACTGATTTAGTATGTGTTTATTTTCTTGGTTAGGCCGAGTACTTTTCAATCCACCCTCGTAAGTCTCCAATCGCTAGTAATGTCTTATCTGCTTGTTCTTGCGCTTTTTGTAAATCCATGTAGAAACTTTCAATTTCTTCCTCACTGTAATTGTGTGTTATTTACCAATTTGTATGAAAAGTTTAAAAAAATCTATCTCATGAACCGTAAGTTTCCGCAACCTAAAACTTTGCAAAACGCTTTCTTTTAGTGAGTACTATCTACAAAAAAAATATGGGCTTTGAAATCGATGGTCCATATTGGAAATATTAACCGATTTGTCTTATCCGGGTTCCAGTTGAGGGAGGCAGTTTTTAGTTTTTTGAAGTTTTTTGTTCAGACACCGATGATGCTCTACCTCGTGCTGCATAATTGAGTATGCTTGGTTTTACTAATCCTTGTGTATTATTTGCCAATGGCTCCTCAATATGCTTGTCAGTAAACTGTTTCTTCTTGGTGTTTTGTGCCAATGTTTCTGGTGAATCTACCTTTTCTCTTTTCCTTTTCTCGCGGTTAGGATCTTTTGGGTTTTTTACTACTAACTTATCGTATTTCAGATATGCTAAATTTCCCTTCTTCTTTCTTTCTTCCAGCATTGGTTGGAGATTTTTGCGAGTTTTAGAACCTCTTTAGGAAAGTCTTCTTTAAGATAGATGCCTTTGGGCAGGTTAGATTTGTTCTTCTGGATAAGATGTTTTTTCCATGTTGTTGTCAGTGACACCACTACTGGTCGGTTTTTATTTGAACGTTGCCCAATTCTATAGATTTTGGCTATCTCTTGACTGTCTAGGTGTACACCTGTCTCCACTATTATTTCTTTCAAATAGTCTACTAATTCACACTCTGTTTTTTGTTTCTCTTCTATTCCGAAAAATACTAAATTGTTCTTTCTCTTTTCCTTTTCCATGAACTCTATTTTCTGTTCAAGGTTTGTTATTTTCGTTTTTAAGGTTTTGTTTTCTTCCAAGAGTGCTTTCATTTTTTCGTCTAGTGCTTGCATGACATTATTGGTGACATTGGCGGTTATTGTCAAAGTTTGTTGGTTTAGCTTCTCGTCAAGTTTAGTTAGCAACAATTTCATGCTTTGATCCATATTTATTTTGGTAGAATTTTAAATTTTTTTCTACTCACAACACTAGAACTATCAAAATACAGTTCCCTCATATACACAGTAATCTATGGATCCTTTGTTCATTCAACATTGTCAAGTTGGCACCATAGATAAGATGTTTATACGGGAAGTTGGCACTACGTTTGTGACAGTGTCAGATGGACGCACTTTTTTCTTTTTATAGGTTATCTTTATAATAAATGTTCTTGATTTCACTATATACACTATTTTCCACTGAGATTTCTTCGTAATTTGGAGTTATAGTGGGTTTCTTCAGATATTTTCGCAGTTTTATGGTTAATTAACTAGTTTTAATAGCAATTGTGAATTATTTTCGACGGAGCTGATTTTATACTTGTTTACGTCTACAATACTGGAACCGGACTAACAACAAAACCCACACTAAATACAGTCTTATGGATAACACAAGAAAGGACAGACATCTAGTTATAGCCTGAACCAGTGTTTTATAATTTTTTTGAAGCTTGCTAGACTAACTTTTTGAAGTTTTTAGTATTTACATACAACAGCAACCACAATATTATGCCCGTTAACATCACTGAGATTGGTAGCTGAGTTGCAATGAGTGGTGATATCATCAGTTAAGTGATTTTAATTTCAAACTCACATAATATGATGACAATGTCTTACTGAGTCAATTTCATATTGTAGCATTATAATATGCGACGGACAAGGGATTGCACAAAGCTAAAAACAATATAAGAACAATAAAATAAATATTAATGATACCTGGACGCATCTGTTTGATAGTGAACTCATTGATGAGGTGATGATTGTGCTCATTTAGGCTGCAGTGCAATGACACACAATCACTCTGGAATAGGAGGTCCTGTAAAACAATATAATATCTATTAACAACTTATTACACGTAACATTAGATAATAAATATAATGATATGAAATGCAAAATGTGTACTATGTGCACTACAAAATATGCCTATATGGCAATTCTTGGAGAGGCCTATGTTTAACAGTGGGCTGTATTGATGATGGTGGTGAGGATGATAACAATGATGATAATGATATCAATAATAATAATAACCGTGTGGAAGAAAGAGCTCCATGGGAGGTTTTACAAGGCTCTACATAAGTCATTCACAGACGCAATTGCCGCCCTTCACTGGCTATGTTTTGGTGACTTCTTTGAGGAAACCGAGAGTTTTGTCTGTTCGATACAGGATCAGGTTATTAAGACCAACAACTATCGGAGATACATCTAAGGGCTGGCACCGTCGACATCTGTCTTGTTTGTCGCCATCCCGGTGAGTACTTAGGAACGTCATCTCCGGTTGTTCGGTGCTTTCTAACTCTGAGTACTTACACAGGCACAACCTAGAAGCCAGATTTCTACACCAGGAGCTTGCTCTGAAACACGGTCTAGTGGATTGGTAAATGCCTTATTATAAGTACTTGCCAAAAGACGTGGTCGAAAATGACCGCGCCAGGCTCTACTGGGACCGGACTATCATCACGGACAGGACTATTCTTGCGAGTAAGCCTGATATTGTGTCAGACCGGTTCGTGATATGGACTAGGCACAGTCAAGGATATTTTTGGTGTATATTACCATTCCGCATGACGAGAACGTCGTTAAAGCCGGAACAGATAAACAAAAAAATAATTGGACCTGGCTTACGAGGTGACCGCCATGTGGGGTGGTCTGCTGACCGTAATCATACCTGTAGTCGTTTCTGCAAACGAGTTAATCCTAGTCAGTCTCTTGGGTGATCTGATGTGACTGGGACTCTATGGCAGATTGCTCAAAGCTCAAATGCAGAAAGCGGTGCTCCTCGATACTGCCCGCATCAACCGCAGGTTTCGTTTCCTTTCCTCTTAACCCTCGGCCATTTTGTCTTCCCTGCCTGGGGTTGCATCTGGTTGGCTTTTTATTTATTTACGTATAATTTATGTATTTATTTCACTATATTAGTATATGTATCTTTATCATTTCCACTTAATATGTTTTAACAGTCCCAGATGAGAAAACTATTGAAATACCCTATAATAATAATAAGTAGGCATAGGGACGTGACAAGCCCATCGCCCGCAGTAGCAGCCCTAACAGTTAAATAACAAAACTGCTACGTGTGCGCAGTTAGGCAGCGGCTTGCCAAGAGGTGTTTCACTGTAAAGTTACAGCCTATATATGTCCCACTGCTGGGCACAGGCCTCCGCTCATTTCTGAGAGTTAGCACTGTGCCTCGGCAAAATTGAGGGTGCAAAGGCTCGCTTGTGCATATGGCTCTACTATGAAACGGCGCCGAGTCTGGGCGTCAATCAACGGGAGACGCCCAGATTTGGCAACCAAATAAGTGATCCCAGTAGTAAAACGGCTCGGGAGCGACTTCTGGTCGAGAGCCTCTTGAAACTATCTGCGGGCACAGTGTCACACACCATGAACCCCTTTAGATGCAGAATAACTGACATTTGTCCCAGCAAATGTCATCCTGACAGTGCGCGCAATTCTTGGCCTGTTATTTCCCCACCTGAAGCTTGTCAGTCTGCCGATGAAGGCTGTTACCTCCCTCCACTGGCTACGTTTTGGTGACTTGTTTGGAGAACCGAGAGTTTTGTCTAATGATACAGGTCAGGTTATTTAGACATGTCATCTCCGGTCGTACGGCATTTTAACTCTGAGTATTTGCACAGGCACAACATAGTAGCCAGAATTCTAAAGATAAAGATAAAGATACATTTATTGCATAACTGTGTACAATATGATCTTAGTACAAAAACATATAGTTTTAGGCTCAACAAATACCCTGTGTGTGTAAAAATTTTTTTTAATTGTTGCATATCTGAAATGGGTAAACATTTTGGATATGCAACAATTAAAAAAAATTAAATTTACTACTTATTAGCATTCATCTCATTGAGATTGTAAAAAACATTTTCAATTAACAATTTCTTTAATATAGTTCTAAACATATTTCCATTTAATTGTTTTAATAGCTGGTGGTAACTGATTGTATACATGAATAGCAGTTATATAGGTATTTTTATAGTAAATCATATTTTTAATAATAGGTAAGCTTATATCATATTTATATTGATTGCAAATGTTTTTCTTTGAATCAGATTTCAAATTAAAATATTGCATATTGTTTTTAACAAATAGACATAATTCTAGGATAAAGATTCCAGTCAGTTTTAGGAAACCCTTTGTTCTGAAAACATCTCTTAATGAGATGACTAAGACATTTTTTCTGGAGAACGAATGTGGATTGTATATCTGTAGAGTTTCCCCAGTATATGATACCATAAGTTAGAAGTGGATAAACGGTTCCAAAATAGACATTTGTAGTAACACTACACTACACCAGAAGTCTCTGAAATACCGAATAAGTACCATACATATCCATTTATATATTTATACAGCCCAACCAAATGACGAAAGTATTTAAATAACCCCCCCCCCCCCCCCCCAATAATAGTAATATAATCGAGACCGAATTTTGTTATGGAGCAAGTGTCAATGGATACTAGCCATCTGTACAGAAATATAGTGCATGAGTGTTTGGGCAAGCACAGATGTACTCACAAACTTAATCTGTTGGAATTCTAATGCGACACAATCAGCGCGAGGTCAGGCACAAGACCGACAGATACACATGTTGTCCGAGGTTCAGGAACGGCTAATTTCCTGACTGGGTTGCTACTTAGATTTTATTGACAGAAAACTCCGATAACTAATTTTGGCCCAACCCAAGATTCAAACCTCATTACCATTATTAGACCAATGAGGCAGTGTGTGATAATATAGCCTGTTTTGATGCGTTAGTTTAAGCTTTATAACATATCCATATATAGAGCTACTCTCATTAAAAAAATATTAAAAAGATCAAATTAGTGTTTGTGAAACAATCAGCACACAATTCAACTTTTATTCCTTAATGTTTGTAGTTGTATTCCTCTTGAAAAATTAATAGTATACCTTACTACCAACACTACCTTAAAGTAAAGTAAAGTAAAGTTACAGCCTATATACGTCCCACTGCTGAGCACAGGCCTCCCCTCATTTATGAAAGGGTTTTAGGGCGGGGAAGTGTCCGCCGCGCTGCTCCAATGCGTGCACTACCTTATTATGTGTAATAATTCTCCAGTAATATCTAACTATAGTAGTATAAAAATAATCACTTATTCCAATCCATTTCGCAGTTTCTTGCTGCAGCACATGGTATTTTTTAAATGTTTTTAAATTATTATTACTTTTAATTTAGTTTTATTTATCTTTTGGCATTTAATTACTTTTTACTTGTTGTGCTTCATCCTTAAACTGGAATAAAATGCATTTCTTTATTTCTAGTATTTAATGAACTGAATTGATATTTCAGTTGGAGACAACGGTCTGGTAGTGTTTACTAGTTAATAGTATTTTGTTCAGGGACTTTTCCACATGGATGATTGAAATTCAGTATATATATAATTTCCGACTTTTGATTAATTTTGGGGATAAACTTTATATCATGATGTAAAGACCATCAAGAAAGAAGCTGGCATGATTGAAAAATTTTATTTTACAATGAGGTAGGGCAACAGCCTCTTCTTTGCACGAAAAACCCTACAATAAACTAGAATATATTTTTTATTTCATGTAGATCTCTAATAATCTAATACGTCAAATTTCAAGAACAGTCAAATTTTAATAACAATGAAACAGCATGAAATTCAGCAGGAAGTTTTACAATTATATTAGAAGTAGCATGGCAACAATCACCTCATTGCTAGGAGCATTTTCAATTATGTGTCAACAATGAGTACCTGCAGCGTGTAGACCCTGGTGAGGCCGAGCGACTTCTCGATGCCGTCGGGCAGGTAGGGGTCGTAAAAGATGACGTTGAAGCCGAAGGCCTTGGCGCGCAGCGCGACGGCCGAGCCGATGCGGCCGAGCCCCACTATGCCCAGCGTGTCGCCGCGGATGCGCGCGCCTCCCGTCGCCGCCTCGCGCCCCTGCTCCGGGCCTGACCCCCCGCAACATTCATTTATCATTACTTCTTAATGGACACTTATATTTATAACACTAAATATGATACAATACAACACATTAAGTACAACATTTTGAGTTACTTTATGATGCTAATTTTTTGTCTCTTTCACCCAAAATTGAATTGCATTTATTAAGGTAAATATCTATCTCCTCCCTATAGTCAATATCTCATATATTGCCTAGGAGACCTATTTTTCTTTACATTTCCGATTGATAAGCACCGAGTTGTTTAATATCCTGACTTAATAGTTAACAGATATGGCATGCGAATCAACAATTCTTTCTTCTTTACTTTACAATAGGTATATATTTTCATAAAATAATAAAGGCAAACACGTTAAACAAAATTACCTGTGAATTTCTTTCCTTCCCGTACCATATTCGCGAGCCAGTATGTCCGCCGGTATAGGTTCAATATGAGACACATTGTCGTGTCAGCCACTTCCTCCACACCATAACCCGGAACGTTACATACGGCTATACCTGGAAGGTTACGCAAATAATTTGAGTACAGCAGGACTAACTTGTACCAAAAACAGCAAAATATTTTTGGTACATGTGAGACCCATGGTTAAATAATTTTGGTTAGTGAAAATGCGTAATTAATTACTTTTCTTAATTTAGTTTTTTTTTAACTGATAAAATGCATGAAAAATATTTTGGGGTAACATTCTAAAAACGAATTTCTAATGATAACGCTGTACAAATTTTCGTTTTGTCCCATAAAATTTGACGTCTATTTTGCACACACCACAACATCATTTCTATAACATCAAAGTGACAAGAATATAGGATGTATTTTTTAAAATACAATTTAATTTTTCAAGTTAAATGCGTTAAATAATCCATTATCCTATTTCGTTCCGTGCGTTCCGTAAGAGGCGAATACGAGAAAGACTTCATGGAGTCCGATGGATGGCGATAAACCATTTTTAGTCTAGTTTTTTTAAGTCATAAAAAACATTCAGGCCTGCAGCGGGGGGTATTGTTTCCTGCGCTGTGGTCGATCAGCTGGTGATCTTCTGGTCTACCTAACTCATAGATGGGCGGAGGCAGTAGAGTCTAAGGAGGAGGCATTGGTCGTTAGTTTGGACATTGCGAAGGCCTTTGATTGGGTTTGGCACAAAGCACTTCTTTCGAAGCTCCCGTCCTACGGGCTTCCCGAGAAATCGTGCAATTGGATCACCAGCTTTCTTGCAGATCGGAGCATGAAGGTCGTTGTAGACAGTGCAAGCTCCGATTACAAGCTTATTAATGCTGGTGTTCCACAAGGCTGCGAGCTATAGCCAACGCCGTTTCTTCTGCATATCAGTGATATATTGCAAACCCGTAACATTCATTGCTATGCAGATGACAGCACTGGTGATGCTCTTTACACCGGCCATGCCAATATTTCTCCGGAAAACGTCTCCGAGTACCGGGACAAACTTGTGTATGAAGTCGAGTCTTTACTGAACAGAGTCTCGGATTGGGGGCGACTAAATCTAGTCCAGTTTAACCCCCAGAAGACACAAGTTTGCGCGTTAACCGCTAAAAAGAACACCTTTGTCGTATCTTCTTAGTTTCAAGGCGCTCCTCTTGTTGCCTCAGCCAGAATTGGAATCCTCGGCGTCGACATATCGAGTGACATGCAGTTTCGTGGTCACTTCGAAGACCTTGAAAGAAGGCCAAATTGGCCTCTAAAAAGTTTGGCGTGCTCAGCAGAGCCGAACAGTATTTCATGCCGGCACACCGCCTGCAACTTTACAAGGCGCAGGTTCGGCCGCACATGGAATACTGTTCCCATCTCTGGGCTGGAGCTCCCCAGTACCAGCTTCCACTTGACCGCATCTAGCGCAGAGCGGCTCGAATCGTTGACGACCGAGTGCTTTAAGATCGGCTCGATTCACTGGCGCTGCGAAGAGATGTTGCATCTCTTTGCGTATTTTATCGCATCTATTACGGAGAGCGCTCTGAGGAATTGTTCGGATTAATCCCAGCCGCCAAATTTCGTGAACAATCCTCAATTTTTCCGGACCGATACGACCTGGGGACCTTCAAAAAAAGAGCTTACTCTTTTCTAAAGGGCCGGTAACGCACCTGCAATGCCCCTGGTGTTGCGGTTGATCATGGGCGGTGGTAGTCACTTAACATCAGGTAAGCCGCATGCTTGTTTGCCCCCGCTTCTATAAAAAAAATCGCAAATCCGGCTGCCAAGCGTGAAGACAAACACTTTAAACATCGGGAGGCACATGACCCACAGTGGACTGTTATGGGCTGAAGCAGAAGAATTTATTCTACCGCTTCTTTGTAAGCCCATAACAGTCTAACAGATGATTTTTTTTTAACAATTAATATATCTGTATAATGTAGTGAAGTTTAAGTCTTGAGTACTCAGACACTTAAGAGGATAGAGTAAGTCAGCTCAAATTCTAATTTCGCCCCCACTTCCACGCGCGTCGTATGCTATGTACCGATATGTTTGTAATCACTAATACTGTAAGTAGAAAGGTTGTTAGACACTTATTTCATTAGGTTTATCATATTTATGCCTGTTTCTTAACGCCAAGCCAGCCGCTTCTTATTTTTATAACGGTTATTTCCCATTTTAATTTTACGTCGTACTGTTGCGTAATGTATATTCTGATCGTAAGCGACACAACTTCTCCCTTCAAAAGCCTAAGCGATACTAACGGGGCGATTGGAATCAAGCTCAAGACGCCGATAGTTTAGGTAATTTCTTTTTTACAGTGAAAATAATGGTATTTTAAAAAAAGTAAATAACATAAGCACTGCTTTATAGTTAGTTCAGTTAGTATGCAAAGTTTCATGATCTTATTTAAAGTATTTTATGAATAACAGCGGTTTATTGTTTATTTTGGAGGTAACTTTGGTGTTTAGGCCTAATTTAACGTTTGGCGGCCTGCGTCGGCGCTCGGGTCGAGCGGGAGGCGAGCCTGACGGATGAGGCGCGGGGGGTGCGGGCTGGTGCGGCGTCCGGCCGCGCCGGCGTCGGCGTTTTGCGGGTCACTTGCCGCAGAGCTTGGAACTGAGTAGTTGCGCGTCGTGTTAATAGCTTAGTCGCCCGCTGCCTCTGACGCCTATACTTCGCGAACCTGAGTTCTGAGTAGTTGCGCGTCGTGTTAATAGCTGAGTCGCCCGCTGCCTCTGACGCCTATACTTCGCGAACCTGAGTTGTTTGCAACGCGGCCCGGTGATATTGCATTTTCACAAATGTCGAGTTTGTTGTAACGCGCGTTCGGTTAAATCTTGTTGGAATTTATTGGACTAACCTAATGATAATTGACTTGACTCCAATTAACAAGTGAGAAACGAGTATAATTTCCGAGACTCTTAAATTTTTGTGACGGACTGCCACTTCGATATAAAGAATAGAGGTGAAGCCTTGGGATCGGCGGTTCTGCAACCAGCGGGAAGTCAGGTTACATAATATAACACAACACAACACAATACAGCACGCACACACTTACACCTGAATCTTCCTAGGGTTGACCCTACTTCGAAGGAATAGGTAAGTTTTGTTTGGTTCCCTTTTTACCGCTAACGTGTAATATTCCACAAGCCATTTAGGCCGACCTCCTGTTACTCGTCGAGTGGAACCCCTGATGGGCCCGGGTCCCACGACCTTGCCCGGGTAACTAGAGGCCGTAACATTTGGTAGCAGAACGTGGTTTTCCTGATGGGTTTTGAAACCACTCCCAGCTCAATACGTAACGTTTTGGTAGGAGTAGCGTAGTCTCCCAGCGCAATACGTAAGTTGGTAGCAAGATAGCGGTTGTAACCACGTGGCTGCTGGTTGTGTTTGTTGCAATACGTAATAATAATTTGTTTTATTCGCTTGTTATTTGTTAGCATAGGATCGGTGTATAGAACCGTGTAGTAACCGTATTTTTTGAGTTTTTTATTTATTTTATCTGGTCGCTTACTTTGTTAAGTGTTAGAATTGAGCCACGCCCGTAAGCCGTGGTGGTAAGGAATTATTGTACTCTCGTTATAATAATCGTGAGGACGAACCGTAATTGTACTAATTAAATTAATTGCGTAGTATAATTTACTGATTGGATAAATAGTATTTTGTATTGTATTATTTTTATTGTGGTAATTAAACTAATTGTGTAAAGTAATTTGTACTAAATTTAATTCGGTGATAATCGTACCTTGTAATGATGCCTTCACACCGGTCACCGACGCTTCGCTTGCAAGCGGAACTGCGCTGGGCTGCGAATGCTCACAGCTTGATAGGGAGACCAGATAGGATCCATAGCTTGGAGAAGCGGCTCGAGCAAGTCATGACCCGAAGGGCCGTAGTGGAGGAGGCATGCTCCGAGATTATGGCTTCGGGAGCGGAACAGGGAGTCCTAGACTCCTGTCTTTCCGACTATGAGCAATTTTTTGCTCTCACGGATGACCTGATTGAGGCAGGGGCCAAGCAGGCTAGTGACGCGCGTGAAGCTCGGCTGGGTGTCCTGCTCGAGTCCCCTCGGAAGCAGCCCACTCACCCGGAGCTGTTGGGACGACTTCCCACTCTGGACCTGCCAAGGTTCTCCGGGGTCCTCTCCGAGTGGTTAACGTTTGTGGGACTTTTTGACAGCCTGGTGGATGCCCGGAGGGATTTAACACCAAGCCAGAAGATGGCGTATCTCCTGGCCTCATTAGAGGGGGGAGGCCTTGGGCGTCGTCGGCCATTTGAAGGTGTCGGACGACGCCTACCTGAACGCTCGGGACCTCCTGGCCGGAAGGTATGCCAACGTACGGCGAATTGCGGACGAGCACGTCAAACTCCTGTTGAACCTCCCGCTGCTAAAGGACCGGGCCCGACTACGACCGGACATCGTAAATCCGGTCTTGGTGGCCTGCAACTCGTTGAGACGGCTGGATTTGCCGGTGGACGAATGGTCCTTTTTGTTGCTCCATATTGTGCTGTCCCGCCTACCTCTCGATCTTCGACTCCATTTTGAGGAGAGGTACGGCGGAGACGGCGCCTCCTATATTCTTCCCTTTAGTGATCTGCTGCGGTTCTTGGAGGAGCAGTGCCGGCAGATCGAAAACGCAGCGGGCACTGCCGAAGATCTACGGACTGCTAACCGAACCGTGACCAGGGAAAGGCGAAATCCCCCGGCCAAGTCGTTGTCAACCCCCCCTCAGACCGAGTGGTGCTCCTGCGGGAGGGCGCCCCCCTCCTATCATCTTATAGTGGCCTAGTGGCCAGGAAGGCGCCCCCCTGCTCCTATTGTAGAGCAGCAGAACACCGGGTGACGTCGTGCCCTAAGTTATTAGGCAAGCCTGCCTCAGCGAGACGAACCATCGCCAGGGAGCGCCGCTGGTGCTATTCATGTTTAGAAAGGCACCTCCAACGAGACTGCCCGCACCAGCGGCCCTGTCCGCACTGCCAGGGCAAGCACCACGCCGTTTTGTGCCTGGGCGCGAACGGCTCTTTCTCTCGGGGCTCTGCCGGGCCCTCATCCCCCACGGGCGGGGGGCGC